ACATGAAGACACATAGTAGAAAGAAAGGTATAAATTCATGATGCATGGTAATGATAGTTAAATGGAAGGAATACATGTAATTCGTTGCCCCCAATTTTTATTGAAGCCGCCTTAATTTCCATGGTTGCCTAGTACACACATGGCATGCATCAGTACTCCCTCTCTCTCTCTCTCTCTACACTTTCTCTCTCTACTGTGACTGTGTGTATATATTAGCACTCTGTTCCTTGAGAGTTTTACTTCAAATTCAACGAGTCGAAGGAAAACACTTCTTCATCTTCTTTGGAAAAGAAAAAAGGTAGTAAAAAGGGAAGGGGGCCCCTGCCCCCCTCCCCTGTATCTATTTTCTTTCACTAAGAAAGTTAGACTAACGAAAAGTTGTGTACAATGGCCGCATTTGCTTCTACTTGTAAGTCAAATTAATTAATTAATTATTATCTGAAATTTAATTATTTGGCAGCAGAGATAATGGACAAGGTGAACTCGAAGCTGTACATGGAGAACTGCCAAATCATGGAGGAGAACGAGAGGCTGAAGAAGACGGCGGAGCTTCTCAACCAGGAGAATCGTACTCTCCTCAATGAGCTTAGGCAGAGGCTTGCTGCGGCGGCGGCGGCGGCGCCGCCACAAGCTTCCGATGCTTCTGCCTCCAAGGCGAAAAGCAAAGCCAACAAATCGAACAAGAAGTGAAAACAAAAAAGAATATGTAGCTAACTTAGTGGTACGGTGGCCGGTTTATTGGTTTCTGTAGCATAGGAGGGTAGTTACAGAGGAGTGGATTTCTCATTTCTCATTTTAATTAAAAATGGTTTATTGGCCATATTTTTTAATAATATATTTACTGGTTATGAATTATATTCCAGCTGCTATAACCAAGTATTTCGATTTTACAGTGCACATTTTTTATTTTATTTTGGAAGTTTGTGTGTATGGTAATACTAATTATCATGTACATTGTACATTTTACATAGACATACAAGATGAGGCTTCGAATCAATATTAAAAAATCGATAGAGATGCAAATAAAAAATAAACAAATGAAATATAATGAATACACCACCACCAATCCAGGGTAAATTACAACCACCTCAGAGGTATGGTTAAATTACAAAAAACTCTCTCTTGTTTGGATAATTACAAAAACCACCCTCAATTATAAATTTTCTTACACGTCCATCCTTACGGTTTCAAATTTGGTGGAATCTTCGAGATTATATGGATTTTGTACCCGATTTATCTCATTCAAACTCCACATTTTGAAGCAAGATGATCGTAATATGTGTTTTTAACACCATAAAGGTGGAGATGTAAGAAAAAATCATAGTTGATGGGGTAGATGTAATTATCCAAACAAGAGTGGTTTTTCGTAAATTGACTATACCTCAAGGGGTGGTTGTAATTTACCCAAAAAAATATTGTTTGTAAAGGAAATATGTGGCAATTATATATGCATTCGAGTCGTACGGTATTTAAGTTGAACTATTGATCAAATGTACGTATGTATAGAAGTGTAAACGAATTAATTTGAATCATCCGGAACACGTGTTAGTTCAGGCTCATATATATGGCAATTATCTATGCATTCGATTCGTACGGGATTTAAGTTGAACTATTGATCAAATGTACGTATGTATAGAAGTGTAAACGAATTAATTCGAATCATCCGGAACACGTGTTAGTTCAGGCTCATTTGAAATTTCATCGAGTTTCCAAAATTGCGGTTGAGTTAAGTACGATAAGTAATTGAGTCGACCTCGGTCTCTTTAATCGAACCAACCATTAATTACAATGAGTAGCTTGATTTTTTTTTTATTTTTTTTTTGAAATTTGGTTTGTTAATTATATTAATTCTTAAACAATCCTTCTCCAAAAAAAAGAAAAAGAAATTCTTAAACAATCAAGGTCAATTGGGTTAAGATTTTTTTTTTTTAATAAATGAGCTTTAATGCTATATCCAGTAGTTGTTGGGCTAAGACTTTCCTTATATTTATATATGTAATTGGGTTTGTTTGAAGACTTCTTACAAAAGCCCAGTCGTGTATATATACTCTGACTTGGAGCCCATAACATGTTATTTATATATGTGGGGTCGGACACGTGTATCGACCGGATCTATATATGCCCTTTATTAAATTAATTAATTAATCCCCGATTCATGCATGACACGTCAGCGCCGTCTGGCGGCGGTTTCGCGCTGGGCCGTTGAAGAAGACGGCGTGGACAGGGAGGCTTAGGTGATTATCGGCGGCCTCATAAAGAGTGGAACCCTAAATAGGAAGTAAGAAAGATGTGACTTCGTCTCGGGGGCAAAATGAGGGTAACATCATGTGCTATCCTCAAATCGAGGTTTTATACGAGCATAATGTTTTTGTACCCTAAACCTAAAATTCAAATTCCATTCGATGCGACATGCGTAAATAAGAGAGTAATTAGGTTAAAGAAACCCTAATAAGACTTGCCCTCAAGAAATAAAACATCTATAAATAGAAGCATCGCTCAAACTTTTATTCTCTAATTCTTCTTTACTAGAATTCATAATGTGCAAGCAAATACAAGCTCTATACTTGATCATCATTGGAGTTTCACACCGGAAAACCACTCCTGGTGTTGCAGGAACGAAGACCGATCGAGACTGCAGCGGCATTCCAAGCTGACGATAGAAGACTGGGGCTGACATCACGCTTATTACATCACCACAACTGAGTACTGACAAACGAAGTTCGATCATTAATTATTTGAAAATAATTTGTAGTTGAAATTGATTTTATTTTAGGGCCTTAATTGAAGATGGGCATGTATACAAACTTAGCCTAGTGGGCTACATTATAGGCCTGAAACACTAGTAATGCCATAACGGATCAAATATTTCTTTCTTAAAATCTTTGTTAATTATTAAATTAATTAAAAACATTCAATTTTTCTTTCCAAGTAATTCAGATCCTACATTAATAAAAAATATTAAAATATTCAATGTTTCATTCGTTCTTATTACATTCAAAATTCAAATAACGTATATATAAAAACTAAAAACAAAAATATTTACAGGTCACATCACACAAACACCCAATACTGACTGAATGTGCATTCAGATCTCCATTAGGCAACTCATACCCCATTAATTTATAAATTAAATCTTTGAATTTTGGTTAAATCTGGGTTTTTTAACTTCCGGGGAAAACAAAGGTGAGCTAGAATACAACAATGGCAGCTGGAAGCACCAGGAAAATTTCAGCAGCCTCTGCTAGGGCTCATACCCGTAAACCCAAAGCTACCTCGCCCAAATTTGGAGGTGCGCTTCGATTATTTTCCCCCCTTTTTTTAACTGTTACGGTATTTTATGTACTCGTTTGTAATTTCTCGATTGAATTCGGAATCTGGTGTAATCGTAGATTTTAGTAGATAATTCTTCTGATTAAATAGTTTCAGGATTTCGATTTCGAGGTTTTAGCTAATCCGCGCACAACAATTGTGTTTCTGTTTGGTTTTAATTTCCTCTGCATTTGATTAGCATCCATTACTGTATTCAATTTCATTCGCATGATCTGTTTTTTTTTTTCTCTTGAAGAGTGAGTGATTAAATCCCTTCAACTAATGCTGATGAGTTGACTTCAATTTTATCAGGCGATTTATATAACATTTTTTGTCATTGAAAATGGTTGAATTCTTTATTTGTAGTGTTGGGTGAAGTATTGTGTTTCATTTGATCATAACATTGAACCATAATTGAAAAAATGGCGTAATATCAGCATAAAGGTTATTGGATTTATCGGATCAAAAATTAAAAAAATATATGTTTCAGGGATATTCAAGAAAATTCTATTCGTTTGCTTTGTGGGCTTCGTCGCCTGGGCATATCAAGCAACACAGCCTCCTACACCAAACACGTGCGGCTCCAAAAACGGGCCAACAGTTACGGCATCACGAATACAGCTCAAAGATGGAAGACACTTGGCTTACGAAGAATACGGTGTCCCAAAAGATAACGCAAAGCACAAAATCGTATTTGTCCATGGATTCGATTCTTGCAGGCATGATGCCTCTGCTATAACCGCACATCTCTCTCCGGTAATTTTTTGTTTTTTCCATTACATTGCGTAACGGCTTTTTCTGTGCTTGTTAGTGATAATTTAATGTTTGAACTCGTTTGATTTTCAGGAAATTGTTGAAAGTGAAGGAGTGTATGTTGTTTCTTTCGACAGACCTGGTTATGGAGAGAGTGATCCTAACTCGAAACAAACGGTTAAAAGCATTGCTTATGATATAGAGGAGCTAGCTGATCAGTTGGGATTAGGACAGAGATTTTATGTTGTCGGATTTTCGTTGGGTGGGCAGATTGTCTGGACCTGCCTCAAGTACATCCCTCACAGGTAAATTCAATTTTCTTCTAAACAAAGTGATGTTCATTATGGTGGTGTTTGCTAACTGCTTATGAGCTTTTATAGTTCATAATCACTTTTTTAACGTCTGCAACACTAGTTTTTGCTTCTGCTTCTCGGAGTTTTTTTTCCTTTTGGCTCATAATCAGTTGTGTAATGATTGCATAACTAGCTTGTGCTTTTGCTTCGCCAGCAGTTTTAAGCCATAATCTAGAAGCACACGCGGAGTTGCTTTTCCAATTCAAAAACATTTTTGTAGCTACTTAATAAATGATTTTGACATTTTAATCCTTATTTTCCTTATCTAATTTCCAATTATTAGGATGATTTAGACATTTCATCAAAATAAGCGAAAAAATTAAAGTTTATTTGCAAACACACCAGCTTCTAATTAGCTGCTATATATAAACCAGTAATTATTTCAAGCTCAACTATATCAATGATTCAAACAGGCTGGCCGGAGCAGCTTTGATAGCACCGTCGGTGAATTTTTGGTGGCAAGGTATTCCTCCAAACTTGTCGGCAGAAGCATATAAGCAGCAGCTTCCACAGGACCAGTGGGCCCTACGTGTGGCTCACTATACACCATGGCTCAATTACTGGTGGAATTCCCAAAAATTATTTCCGGGTTTTAGTCTTATAGCTCAAAGCCCTCTCGTTCTTTCTAACCAAGACATTGAATTAATCCCGAGAATTCGTTCTATACGAGAGGAGTATCAGGTAAAAAAGAAATGGTGTTATTAATTATTCATTACATTCTTGAAATACTTAAATGTGAATATACGATTTTTGTCACGATCAGGCACAGGTGAGACAGCAAGGTGAATTTGAGTCCCTACACCGTGACCTGGCAGTTGCATTCGGGAAATGGGAGTTCGATCCGACGGGTCTAGAAAACCCGTTTTTGGAAAGTGGAGTATCCGTTGACTTATGGCAGGGAGAAGAGGATAAGATCGTCCCTGTAGAACTGCAGAGGTTTATAGCTAATCAGCTGCCTTGGATTAACTATCACGAGTTATCCGGTGCTGGTCATATGTTTCCATTCGCTGACGGGATTGCTGACTCAGTTATAAAGCAACTTTTAGCTGGGAACAAAGGCCTTTGATTGATAGGCTACTCTGATTATTATTACCAGGTTTATATGTATCTGCACTTAAAATTTTCATTTTTTTGGGCTTATTATTTGGGTTCAATATTCCCTCTCTGTATCATTGTTACAACAGAATTTCTAGTGTCTTATTTAAGACAACATTTTGGTATTGAACTTGTAATGTTATGATTTCAACAAAATACAAGTGAGATAAGTTTGTTGTTTGGTCTATGTTACGATCGGTGAACGAACATTATCGAATCGTATTCAACCGTATACATATACTTATATTTTATACTTGTATTTTGCGGACATCCACGTGTAGTGCAGTGGTGGAGCTAGTACAGTAGGGCCACGACCCCCAACATTTCTCAAACCTCTATTGATTTATATATATATATATATATATATATATATATATATATATATATATATATTATTTTAAACTTACCAATCAATTAATTAAAATTGAACATTAGAAGCTATTTCAATTTTCATATATAGAAAAGATGATGACATATAAATATTGCAATCTCTACTGTATCTACTTTTCTGAAATTAAAATAAATAAACATCCGCACGTGAGCTACCAGCAGGGGGGAAGCGAGGAGACACGTGTAAACTAAGTAATAGCAGAGCAGTGTATAAGAAATCTGGAGGGGGACACGTGTCTCGGGACGTGTCCTGCAAAACCATGCAAAATTATGCGCTTTCAGACAAACATAACTGAAAATTATATTCCCTAGTATGGGGCTTGAAATTGAGAAAACCCCCTCCTTTAATTTTAGGGCCATCTCCTACTTTCATTTATATGAGACGACGTCGTCTTGGCCCCACCTCCCAACAGCATCGCCCTTTGTTTTCCAAGCTCACTCACCGTTGAAACTACACACATATATATAAAACCATTCTCTCTCTCCTCTCTCCTCTCTCTCTCTACATATATACGTTACAGTCTTACAGATACATATGCATATACATATGTAATAGTTGGTGAAGGTGTTTACCTTCTTTTTTTATTTTCAATTTATTTTCTTTTTTTGGCGGCGCCGGAGCTATCATCTTCCCGTTAAAGACGACGGAACTCTGTGAACTAGGTTGAAGAAAGGTAATATTTTATTCTGTTTATGGATTCGAATATTCCGTTAATTACTACTGTCTTAATTTTTCTTTGTAATAATTAATCTTATCCTTTAGCTAGATCAGTAATTAAATTATTGAAGCAGCTGCATCAGTGAATTGTATCTAGATAAATTTGTCTATTTTCAGCTGCTATTAGTTACTAGGTTATTAAATTATGTGTCTCTTCTTTCTGAATAATATATATATATATATATTTTTTTTTTTGCCGATAGTGGAAAATTCAATTTTGTGAAAAGAAAAAAAGAGAAAAAATGGCAGCTACAGATTCTGAAATGATGTCACAAGGAGATGTTATTGTAAACGGAGGACAACAACAAGGGCAGCAAATACAGCAAAAGAATCAAATACTCGAAACCCTAGGCCGACAATCTTCGATATACTCGCTTACACTCGACGAGTTCCAAAACACACTCTGCGAGAGTGGCAAGAATTTCGGATCAATGAATATGGATGAATTCCTCAACAGCATTTGGACCGCCGAAGAAAATCAAGCTCAGGGCCAATCCCACCCCACAGCCGCCGGCGGTAGCGGCGGCACCACCAGCGTTAATGCAACGCAGTTTCCTCAGATTAACAATACCTTATCCAAACAGCCTAGCTTGCCTAGGCAAGGCTCTCTGACTATACCCGAGCCTCTGTGTAGGAAAACCGTCGACGAAGTGTGGTCGGAAATCCACAACGATCAGCCGAATAACAGCCGCGCTCGTAATCCGAACACTACTGCTGCCGCCGCCACCGCCACCGCTTCTGCTCAGAAACAACACACGTTTGGTGAAATGACGCTCGAAGATTTCTTGGTCAAGGCCGGTGTTGTTAGGGAGCAGAACTTCGCCCCTGCGCCACCTCAGCAGCCGCAGTTCGGGATGTATCCTGTGGGACCCAATTTCGCCGCCAGGCCGTTAGCCCCTATAGGTAGTGGCGGTGGTGTTGGTGGTGGTGGTGGTGTGAACAATAATGTCGCCTCAAATTATCCGATTCAGGGTGGTGTGGGTGAGCCACCTGGCGGCGGTTACCCTGGAGGAGGAGGAGGAGGAATGAAGAGGGTGGGCGGCGGTTACTCGCAGCAGCCGCCGCCACCACCTCTGGCGGTGAACTACGGGGGTAGATTGGGGAATGGAAATGGAGGAGGATTCGGGGGCATGGGCTCACCGGTGAGCCCGGCTTCATCGGATGGGTTTGGGGCGAATCAAATGGATAGCGGTTATGGTTTGGAAATGGGCGGGGCGAGAAGCGGAAGAAAACGGATTATAGATGGTCCGGTGGAGAAGGTGGTGGAGAGGCGGCAAAGAAGAATGATCAAGAATCGAGAGTCCGCTGCCCGATCTAGAGCCAGGAAGCAGGTATATACATATATATAATCACATATATATCATCGGGCCGGATTTGTTGTTACTATATTTTTCTTTATAATTATTTCACAATATCTTACGAAGCTCGATCGATCGAGTTATTTTTGGGCAGGCGTACACAGTTGAACTAGAAGCAGAATTGAACCAACTAAAAGAAGAGAATGAACACCTACAACAATCTCTGGTAAAACACATGCATGTATATATATATATATACATACATACTATATATATGTACTTTCATTTGGAGGCTGCTTAATTAATTAATTAATCAGTACTAATTAGTAGCAAATAGACTTTTACAAAGTTGATTGTATATATTGTAACAGGCTGAGCTAGAGAGGAAAAGGAAACAGCAGGTATAAATCATTTATTTTATTTCAGAATTAATATAATGATCTTACAAGGCTATTATATCTCACATAATGATAAGAAATTAAATCATCTTCGATAGTAGTTTTTAGAATATTTTATTGAACGAAAAATCGGTGACAGTACTACGAGGAAGAGGAAGCAAGAAAGAAGGCACGAGGGCAATCGAAGTCGTCGAGAGCAAACGAGGCATTGCAGGCAATGAGGAGGAGTTTGAGTTGTCCTTACTAAACATACATAAGGGTTGATACACTTTACTTTTGTGTGTTCCTTTTTTCTGGGATTAATTAGAGTGTTGTATTAGGCTTTGTAAGTTAGCTTTTTTTGAGCTATGGGTGTAATAATTTTTTTTTCTTGCATAAACTTTATTTTAATTGTTTTCTGTATACCGGTAAATGTCATGGAGGGTGGTGGTGACATGCGATAAAGATCAGAAATAAAGGAAAATGGTTTTTTTTTTTTTTTTTTTTAAAGTAAATCGAATTAAATTAGTACAATTTTTACTGTAATTTGCATTAGAGAATATAACCTATGGGAAAGGGAATTTACAAGGATTATAGAATATATACTAAATGTAAATAGGGAAGCAAAGAGATAACAAATGGTCGTAGCTTCAATACATGGAATTGTTGTTGTGTGGCAACGGTTGATTCTCAATAATCCCCTTAATAATCCAAATACACGATCAGAAATTCAAATTGTGGTCATTCTAGAAGTTGTCAAACGTACAAAATGACCGTTTGCTAACAACAGATCCAACTCCGAAACCCATTTTCAAGTCTAGATTCCTTTACCCTATCGAACATACTCTAGATCACTCAGATTTTTCTTTCACGTACAAAGCGTCCCTCACTTACTATAGACGGATGACTGTAATATGTGTTACCGTTTCTCTCTCACTGAAGCAGAGATTTATAGCCTAGAATGCAACGGTGATCAGTGAATAAACCAGCTTAGAATCAAAGTTAGCCATGGTGGTGGCGTTAGACTCAAATGTCGTCAGAAGAAGACAAGGGAAGTCAACAGAAGGACTAATGTGCAAAAACTAATGTGCAAAAAAAGAGAAGCCGAGAAGAGAGAAGACTAGATTTAGCGCAAATGAGAAGACAAAGTTAATATATATGACATGTTGACTAAAATACCCCTTAGTGTCTAATTTACTCGAATTCCACCACCCAACCCTAATTTAACGAATATTTTACATTGACCTCAATCTTATCAAATTTTGTACATTGACCCCCATTTTGACCAAACAAGAAAATCAGAGCCCAACCAATCAACTAAAACCCCGGGCGATAAGGGCCCATCAATCAAGATTCAAGCCCAATGCTCTCCCAAACATTACTGGTAAATAAATAAATAAATGCTTTTTATTTCTTTTATTTTTAAATTTTTATTTTTGTACAGAAAAAAGAAATGGAAATGTTCAACAAACACTTTTGCTTGAAAAGATAGTTTGTTGAAGGAGACTCGTGTGAACCCTGGAGATTTTTTTTATTTTTTATTTTTTTCTTCTGATTAATTAATGCCCATCTTTGTAGCCTGCATTTCCTACAAGAAATTGACAGCGTCAATCTTCTCTCTCTCTCTCTCTACACACTGTATTTGCTGCTCACATTGACTGATACATCAGTGACGAATCAAAGGTTGGCTTTTTGTCACTGTTTCACCACTAGAACAAATTACCAAAACCCTCTTCATAGTTTTTGCCGACAGAACCTAAAGTTGTCTTCAGGTGAACCTAAATTAGTGTTCTTACTGTTCAATGCTGATTTTGCTGTATATATATACTGCTCTGGATCTTTGATATCACTGTTTCCTTGTTTTTTCTTGCGTATTGTTTTCAATTCATTTGAATATTAAGTGGCCACATTTTTAAATGTATCTAATTTTCCATATTCAACAGATATTGAGAAAGAGCAAATTACTTCTGTAATTGGGGGTTTTCTAATCAGATAAACAAAATTAGGTCTGCGTTTTCCGTAATGGCTACGTGCACGTCTCCGTATTTCATGCCTCCGGATACTCGAAGGCCCGTAGGGGTATTGAATGTTCTTGGGGTCCCACTTCCCCCATTGAAAATGGTCGATGAACGCAACGGGTTTTCGAGCATCGGTAAAAAAATCGGCCCGAGTTTCCCACATTTTAAATGCTCAGCAAACTCGCACAGCGTCAACCAATTCCAGAACAAAGACCCGTTCCTAAATCTACACCCCGAGGTATCAATGCTTAGAGGCGAAACAAACTCCACATTGATCAACCCGAGGCAAGATAGTTCGAGCGCAAGTGTTGCTGAGAGTGTAAGAGAATCGCCGACTTTGAACAGTTACAACGAGGCCAAGATTAAGGTTATTGGTGTTGGAGGAGGTGGCTCGAATGCGGTTAACCGTATGATAGAGAGTGAGATGAAGGGGGTTGAGTTTTGGATAGTTAACACTGATATTCAAGCTATTAAGATGTCGCCTGTTTTTTCCGAGCATCGTTTGCAGATTGGTCAAGAGTTGACTAGAGGACTTGGTGCTGGTGGGAAACCGGAAATCGGAATGAATGCTGCTAAGGAAAGTAAGGAAGCTATAGAGGATGCCGTTTATGGAGCGGATATGGTTTTTGTGACTGTAAGTTCACCTTTTTTGGCTTAAGATCTATCATGATTCATTAGTAGCGAGATGCTCGTCTTTCCGTTATCGGTAACTAAAATTTGGGTCATGATTTATAATATGATAATGTATCGAAAATTAGATAAATGCTCGACTACAATGTGCATATTCGGTAGTGGTTTTTGTGACTGTAAGTTCATCTTTGGCTTAATAATTATCATGAGAAGTGAGACGCTCGTCTTTCTGTTAGCGGTAACTAAAATCCGGGGTCGTGATTTGTAATATTATAATGTATTCGAAAATGAGCTAACTGCTCAATTCTATTGTGATTGGAATTTATCAAAATTATAATCCAAATTCATCGTCAAAATGCTTCTTCTGCTTGTTTAGTTCACTCGTCTTTTATACCGTACAGGCTGGCATGGGTGGGGGTACAGGCACTGGTGGTGCACCTGTAATAGCTGGAGTTGCAAAGTCAATGGGTATTTTGACCGTTGGTATAGTTACAACTCCGTTTTCTTTCGAGGGAAGGAGAAGAGCTGTTCAAGCCCAAGAAGGGATTGCAGCTTTACGAGAAAATGTCGACACCCTAATTGTTATCCCGAACGATAAATTGTTGACTGCAGTTTCCGCTTCTACCCCCGTAACAGAAGCATTTAATCTTGCGGATGATATTCTTCGACAAGGAGTTCGTGGCATCTCTGATATAATCACGGTACGGCTGACCAAAATTCAGGGCCTGATTAAATTTTATCTAATATTTGATAATCTTTTTGCTTTTTTTTCTTGCAGATCCCGGGTCTAGTAAATGTCGATTTTGCTGATGTCAGAGCTATTATGGCTAACGCAGGTTCCTCGTTAATGGGAATTGGAACTGCAACAGGTATTCTTTATCTATTTAGATTTAATCATGTTGATATAATGAAGTTATACGACTTTCTTCATCCCTGTTCTTATTTAACATATCAAAAATTGTGAGATTATGTCCTTATACTTTTCTTTTCTTTTCTTTTTTGGGTAAATTACGAAAACCCCCTGAACTTAGGCTAAATTACGAAAAAACACCCCCACCTATCTGTAATTACCAAAATCCCCCTGACATTTGTTTCCGTCTTACATCGACCCCCTTATAGTGTGATTTTTGCGGAATCTTTTTGATACTAGGGAATATTCCCGAAAAAATGCCAATTCCACGTTCAATTTTTTTAACATTTGTGCATGGCTACCTTTTTCGGGAAATATTCTCTGGAATAAAAAAGATTCCATGAAAAATTATATCGTAAGGGGGTCGATGTAAGATGAAAGCAAACATCGAGGGGATTTTGGTAATTAGGGATAGGTGGGGGTGTTTTTCGTAATTTAGCCTAATTCAAGGGGATTTCGTAATTTACCCTATTTTTTTGTAAAATTTCTGTAGATATTTTTAAACATCCAAATTGGTCGAATGTTGCAAATACTACATTCGATTGAGGAAATAATGATCTCTTACTATTGAGTGCCAATGAATGCAGGAAAAACTAGGGCAAGAGATGCTGCATTAAACGCCATTCAATCTCCTTTGCTGGATATTGGTATCGAGAGAGCCACTGGGATTGTGTGGAATATAACTGGTGGCAATGACTTAACATTGTTTGAGGTGGGGCCCTCTCTCTCTCTACATTTTCTTTCGTCTCTTTCTTGATATAATTGTGGTTTGAGTTAATTTTCGAATGTAAAAATAAATAAAAAATATTGCAGGTAAATGCTGCAGCAGAGGTCATATATGATCTAGTGGATCCGAGTGCCAACTTAATCTTCGGTGCTGTGGTGGATCCATCTCTAAGTGGTCAAGTGAGTTCCATCTTTTCCATATTTGAACGAATATTCTTATGATCTAAAAGATTCTGTTTGAGTAAACGCCGCAAGAGGGAAACTTTTAATTTCACAAACAATAGGGGGTTTTCGTAATTTATACACACCTCAGGGGCTTATTCGTAATTTACACACACCTCAGGGGCTTATTCGTAATTTATCCTTGACTGTAATTTCGCAAACAATAGGGTTTTTTTGTAATTTATACACACCTCAAGGGGGGTAGGGGGTGAATTAATCTAAAAATAAACGGGAGGCTGTTTGAGACAATTGAGAAATATGTGAAGTGGTCAGCTCCGAGATTTATGTGTCAAACATTCAACATGGTTAGTTAAAATCTGACCGATTTTGTTTGCTAATTCAGGTTAGCATAACTCTAATTGCCACGGGCTTTAAGCGTCAAGAGGAAAGCGATGGCAAAACAATCCAGGTATGTATATATATATATATATATTTCTTGCCTCTGCAATAACTTAATATTTAATAACACCTCAAAAAAATCTGAATATTATTGTGTTTAAAAAACAATGTAGGCAAATCAAGTGGCACAGGGAGATTCAAATATTGGTCTCAATAGGCGGCCCTCGTCGTTTCTAGAAGGTGGTTCTGTCGAAATTCCAGAGTTCTTGAGGAAGAAAGGACGCTCTCGTTATCCAAGAGCTTAAAAAAAAAAAAATTAAGGTCCCCTTATATTTATTTCGGCTCTCACAGTTTGAGTATTGCTTGAATTTAATTTCGTGTTTGTATATGATTTTTTTATTTATTTTTAATAATAATAGTTTGTTCTGTCTGCAGAATATAAATAGGCTGTAGGAGCTTATTTTGCATCTAGGTTTCGACTTTGTATTGAATGTGATTTTGGGATATCGACAAATGACATTTTTTTTTTCTCTCCAACTAATGTATTGATTCGTAGAATAATTGGTTAGTTCAGTTGATATTTTTCGAAATAGCATCGATTAAAATCGATCTTGTTTATTTAGTTTGAACACGATTTGATACATGCGTCGAATGCATCATTCATCTGCTGAAGTATTTATATTTTTTATTGAAGTCAAGCAACTTCTGCTATGTAGTTATGTCGACGAATTTGTTATTATGAACTCGAGAAGACTGAAAGGCATCAAAATTGCAGAGCTTTGGTGACTAGGTTGATGCTATATTTGATGCTACGTTTTTTTGAAAAAAATGGCTTTATTATTGGGGTCCACAAAAGACAAAAGAATTGGAAGTTAACCACACAAAAAAAAAATATCCGAATCAACTTTCTTTCGAATCAAAAGCCCACATATCTCACATTAAATGATTTGCATTTGATGCTTGCAAGTAGGACCTGCAATTATGTCGGGCCTAATTGAAGCCCGATTATATTTGAGTAGACCTTATAATAACAAGATTTGATAGTATGTGAGCTCACGAGCAACCCAAACTCGTCTTGCATGGTCTGATTGTCAGCCATAATTACAAGTAAAACAAATACCTTTTTCTCATTTATTATTTCCTATAAAAATATTTATATATCTCGAGCTATAAAGGCTCAAACATATAAAAATCACACAAAAAAAATTGTAAAATATATATATATATATATATATATATATATATATATATATATATATATATATATATATATATATATATTTTCCTCCACTTGAAATTAAGGAGGGCCTCTCTTTTGAGTTTTCTCCCAATTCCTAATATCTATTTGGAAAGGGAAACCACACAAATTGGAATCTCAAAGATCTCACTACAAGACACGTACTTTTGTCGCTTACCATTCAAAGGAAAAACACTTCTAATGGACGTGTAAACAAACAACCTCCCTCTCTCTCTCTCTCTCTCTTCCCTCTTAATATATATATAACACACACAAATATATCTCTGATTTTCATTTTTCATGCAAAGAGGTGAAGAAACAACCACCATGCTTCCCAAGAATCTCAGTGCTTCTTCAAAACCAGGATTCGAGAACACTTTTTCATCAGAGATGACAAAAGCGGCTCAAAAGGGATCGAAGAATAGCAAATCCGACGAAGACTTGGCTCAGAGAAATTCTTCATCACTGCCGACTAGTAGTATAACTGCACCGACTAAAAGCGAAGGAACTGTAGAGGGTTCGAATAGCAGCGGAAGGGAGAAGCTGAGGAAGCACCGGGTTGAGGTGGCCGGTCGGGTCTGGATACCCGAGATGTGGGGCCAGGAGGCTTTTCTGAAAGATTGGATCGACTCCACGGTGTTCGATTCCAAGCTGGCGAATAGCAGTATTATGTCTGCTAGGGTTTCGTTGGTTGAAGAAGGAAGGAGACCCAATTCCACCGCATTCACAATCGAGAATAGTTGTTGATTACGATGATGAGTTTTTTCGTACCCATTATTTTTTTTCAGACCACAATAATCTGCATTCATTCATGTTTCCCCTCGTATGTTGATATTATTAAATACACATGTCTTGTTTTCAACAAGCACTAAGCTATTCAATAAACAAAAACTGCGAATTTGTTCATCAAAAACGATGAGAAGTACATGGCTTTACAACAGCTATCCCTCTGGTTTTAACTTTTAGCTGATAAAAACCGATCATCGGTAATAAATTACACAAAAAAAAAAAAAAACGAGTATCCGTCTACAATAAAGGGAGATAAATCACAACTGGTGACGATCAAAAGTAGAGCTATAATTGCAGTTTCTTCTGTCCGGATGAAGAACCGAGTTCCCATATCTTAACTGTTCCGTCATCACTGGCAGATGCAAGAAGCTTGTTTCCCTGCCAAGTTAAATCAATCAAATAGAGGTAAAGATTAATTTCATAAATCTATCGAACGAAGTAATTAGCAAAAATAGGAAGAATTATTCAAATTAAATATGTTTCGGTCATCAATATATTTACCGTAGAACTCCATAGCACAGCATTTACATCCATATCATGAGCCTTCTCTTTCTTCGTAAGCAACTTGTACATAGGTCCATCAGCCTGTGTTATATTGCAAGAAAAAAGAAAAATACAAGTAAAATACTTTATAAAAATGCTATGGCAAAGTGACATAGTCAGAAAAGTGTTGAGTTTGGTTTATCTAGAGATGCATATGAACATATATCCAAGTTCGATTTTGTTTGTTTATAAAAAAATGACTATTATCTAACCATATTCCCTGCTTCGGAGCTTATTTAGACCCATTTATCATGTCACACAAGAAAGGGACACACTTGCTACATATTGTGATCAGATATGCATATAACAGATTCAAAGGAATGTCTGCATTCAGCATAAATATCGAGTATGTCTGCATTCACTTAGAGAAAAATTAAAGTGATATCAATAATTAAGTCTATACCACACTCTCTTCACTCTCGACAAATAAGCGTATAGCATCATCCGCTGCCCCAGTGCAAATTATTCCCTCCCTGTAGCATTCACAACTCGATATCAGAATAGGATAAATCCAATAAATTTATACATTTCTAAACGAAAAACAATGTGAAAAGAAAGAAGAAATAGAAAGTTTTCGTACCTTGACCAATGGACGGAAAAAATCGTCCGGTCATGATAACCAGAAAGTGTGCATAGATGCGTCCTGACAAAAGGCATCATACAACTTGTTAAGTACATGGATAGTATCACCATTGGAAAAGCTTTTAAATTCAAGAAGATAAGTTAACATGTCATATTGATTCATACAACAAGACCTACTGAACAGAAAGTTCTGTTGTTGAATGCCATTAATTTCCTATTTTCCTTTTCCCTTAAAACTTCCTTAAACTTCGCTGTCTGACAATTGCTAATTGAACCACGTGAACATTAAATATGAATAACATATGATTATTCAGATCAAAGAATCAAAATGGCAAAACCAGACCCGAAACAAATTTAAAATCGGGAGCTTTGGCAAGAAATCAGCTCACACATTGACATGTTGCTTACCAAGGAGCATTTTCATCTCCAGACTGCATACTCATAATATCAGCACCCCATATCTTAATAGTGAGATCATCGCTGCAAAAACAAACTGATTGTATTAGGCTTAGCCTCGATACTAACATTATTTATTTTTATAGTAGCACAAGTCCTTGTTGGTGTTACTTATAAGACAACAATTAAAATGCTTCACTGATAACAAACTGGAATAAGTAAGCATAGAAACGAGAGGAAATTTGTGTATACCTGCAGGAAACCATCTTGTCTCCACTGGCATTAAAAGATAAGGCCCAGACTGTAGATGTATGCCCACTTACACAAAAGTAAAAATAGATTTTAGAACAATCTTATATAACCTCATTCAGCATGTTTGAAGTAAAATAAAAGTAATTTAACCTAGTCAAGCCATAAAAATGGAAATAACAATAACTATTCAATTGAAATTTTGCAAGATCACGTGACCAAGTTGATGTAAGAACAGTAATGGTCCATGTAACCAACGGATGACTCATCAAGATTAGGATAAACAACACATAAACCCGGTGTAACAAAGTACCGAAAATTTGGATATAAAATCAATTTTTGTTATTGCTGCTTGTGTAACTGTTCCATGCGTATCTTAAAAAACAGAGAGTGGGAGTCTAAAGTACCTGCTGGATTCATTTAGCGTTTGAACACAGTGCCAATCATCATTCCCTCCATCCTCCGCCCAGACCTGCAGCAGTAACACGACTCTTATTAAATAACCAAAAATGTTTTGTTTTTTCTTTTTTGCACTAAAATATGGTATTATACTCGAACACCAAATAAGTCGAGAGTGTAATGTTTCCATACGCAAAAAAATACCTTGATAGTGTTGTCATAGCTACACGAGAACAGGATATCCATTGACGGATGCCACTGTACCATTTTAACATCCTGAGTATGTCCTTGCAACACCGAAACACAATCAAACTCGTTGTGGGGTAACACTTCCCATATCCAAACTGATTTATCTCGCCCACAAGTTGCAAGCAGCGAGCCAGACGCATTCCAAGAGACACTTTTAACTTCATTCTCGTGACCCTATATGTCGTTTTTTTACCAATCGTTTAGCATAATGATTCGAAAAACATTACGACCTAACGAATCAAGGTCATTAAATTTCGGATCACTCAATCATAATTGAACACACAACAAAACTTCATCAATCAAACAAGATACCTCTAGAGTGGAAACACAAGTAAAATCACCGCCAACATCTTCCCATATCGCAGTGGTGGCATCGAAACTTGCTGTTGCCAATAATTTACCGGACGGCGACCAAGCGCAAGATCTAACAGTCCTATTGTGCGTATCCTCCAACACTGCCTGCATAACAGATAGCAGAATTAGAACCAATAATGCAATCAAATCAAACACGCCGCCATTTCTAATATACGCCAAACCTTCAAAATCGCAACACTAAGAATCAATTACGGCGATCAGGACAGTTTATCGAAATCATAAAACCGAAACAGAAGAGATTAGAGATGAAACCTTGCACTGGAAAGAGCCGGTAGCGGAACTCTGTTCCCAGATGCGGACGGTTTTATCACCGCTGCAGGAAGCGAGTACGGCAGGGGCGCCGTCGACTCCGGTGGTTGGTTTCCAGGCGAGACTCCAAACCCTATCGGTGTGGCCTTCGAGTTTCTGAACTTCTCTCAGCTCGAAATTCTCATCCGCGAAATTCATTTTCGACGAATAGTATGTATCAACAAGTTGAGTTGAGGTTTCAAGCAGCGAGGTTTACGGTTGTTCTAACACGCGCCGCCGCGATTGATTGGGAAAGGAGCGTGGTGGACTCGTGCCAAGGAATATTAGCCGGCTTAGCCTAGCAGCCGGGAAGGGTAAGGATCTTTAGTGCAGGAAAATTACCTGACCAAGTCCTTGTAATGTGCGTATTTTCAACTTTGACCCTTGATCTTATCAATAATTATTGTTCTTCTCAAAACTTTGGATTTTTGACAAGGTTTAACTTTCAAAATTACATTCACATTCTATTCTCAAAAACGACAATTTTTCAGTTCATTAAGATTAAAACCCTTCATATAAGGATTTGCGATTTTCGTGTTTTTGTAAAAAGTATGTCGCAACGAGCGCGGTTACGGGTTGAAATCCATTGATTAAACTCTTATTCGAGAGTTTAGTTATTTAATAAGCTCTCGACCAAAAGCACAAACTGCAACGTGCACGATTCAAGGACAACAGTATTCAAGGACAACAGTAAGCACAATAAAGCTCTCATTCAAGTGATTAATGTTAATTAAGGGAAAAAGTTTCTCTGGAAAAACGGAAACGAAATCCGATACTTATTTATGAACACTAATGCTACCAAACAGCATCGATTTCCCATTTATGTTTCATATAAATACACCATAATATTTAGAAATATCAATTTTCTTTCACCACCCTACAAAAGTTTTTTACTCACATGAGAATGATATTATTTTCATCATATTCTAACTGGCAAAAAAAATCTTCACTAGTATACAACAAAAAATCAGCATCAATAATGAATCTTCGTCAGTCATGCAAAAACCAAACCACTGAAGCAGCTTACTGCTGAGTGAGTGTGTGGCAACAAGCACAATACTACTTCACCATAAACGAACTTTTACAGCTACAGCCACCCACTGCACTTGGATTTGTAGACACCTGCACATCAAAATGACATTAAGTTTCGTAATCTAAGATGGTAAAAACAAGCAACAAAAATAACGTAAGACAAATAGAAAATGCATGGCTACAAATGATTAAAATACGGAAATCTAAGTCTCAAGAAGAAGTATATCAAAATGATCAAAAAACCAAATCTATTAAGGTTAGGTGTAAGGAGCACAAACACCCTGACATTTCATACTGCAGACAGAACAACTCCAGGTGCTTCGTTACAAACAATTGAAATATAATTTTGAATGACTAAAAATACGGACACATTATGAAAATATCAAAAAATAGCCACTCAAAAACAACAACTGTCAGTGCAGACTAATAACCACAGCGCAGGATATAATTAGAAAGATTGCCTATTTGCCTTAAGTAGACAAATAATTTAGCTAACTATGCAATAGGTGTTTTCATAAAAATATCATAATTCTAATCGAGTTGTAATCTCTGTAGCATGAATTTGAAATTTTAGGCTACCAAGAAGCTCACATCAACAAGGGAAGTGCAATTGTTTGGCTAGTAGAACTGTTTAAAAATAGATCAGGGAAAATGGAGGAGCCAAATAAAATTCCCCTATTACAGAGCCTATCGTCTGGTGACAGGTTTGTACAGCAGACTTATCACATAGGTTATGGTGCAGGAACTCTGAAAATAGTTAACAAAAACCTAAGTTTATTTTTAACCACTAGAAAATAACTCATCTGGAGTTTCGAGCAGGTTAGAGAGTTAGAAATTACTGATAAATGCTTGAAAGGAATTAGGTTAGCAGGTATACAACACCAAGAGATGCAGACTCAAAACAAAATAGTGTCCATTTTTTGGAAAAAAGTCGACTCAAAGCTACATATACTATGTGAGCAAAAGATAATAATCGATATTAGTTCTTGAAAATTAAGAAGAGTATAATAATTCCAGAGAATTGTTTCTTCTCTTACCCCGAGATAAACTTAACTAATGCTTCACAGGTCAAGGATGGATAGCAGCAGTATCAGACAACAATGATGATGTAAATACGTCTACTGTAACAAATAAACAGTTAGAGTGAACAAACCTGAAAGGCAGAACGAATAAGCTCCTCTACATAATCAATAGTTGCACCTTTCACGAAGTCAAAGGAAATATTATCAACCACCAGTTTAACCCCATCCTTCTCAAAAATCCTGCATAAGCACAAAATTAAGAGATGAATTTGTTTCTGGGCTCACCAAACATCATAAAAAAAATCTATTCGCATGCATTTTCTGCAAATAAACAACAAAACCAAGCAAATAACGAAATATTTCGGAAATTTAGTTACCTGTCGTCATTATTGGTTTTATCCTCAAGTGAAAAGTTATATTGAAACCCAGAGCAACCGCCAGCTTCTATGCTTAAGCGCAGCAACTTTTTACTAGGATCATCAGCTTGCAACTCTTTCATTCTCTGTATAGCATAAGTAAAGCATTGAGTTCGAAGAATACTAGTAAAATACTGCTAACATGCTGATGAATGACATCATAATTGCAAACTAAATATTAGGTTAAGGCAAAATTGTCACAACATCGGATTCACTCCATTGTTTTATGTTCGAAAACTCAGCAAACATGACCTACGAGTATCTAATAACCAAATCTCATTTGTAATATCGCCGCCCCCCTACTTTCCGTCTGTGAATTAAGTCATTTCTAATCTTAGACTACTCACTTATCTTCTTGTACATAACCTAACCTATTGAATTTTTGCTATTATGAGTGCCCATCATCGACACATCGCACGCATTTTTCACAGAGTGATATTAGTTATACAGCAGATTCAATCAATCAAAATATTTAATCTCACCAAGTACTCAAATCCCCAAACGGAAATATGTATCCAGCAAAATAAATCGGAGAAATAAGAACGCAACATAACTTGTTCAAAAAGAAATTGAAGAAAAGGGGGAGAGAAAAATTACTCGAATGCAGCCGTCGGTCATATTCACGGTCTCGGTCGACGAAGATGGAGATTCCGGCGAGGATAAATGAGCTTCGTGGAGGGCGGAGGATGAGCTCAGAAGCCTAGAATTCTGCCGGAGTCGAGCAAAAACGTAGGGCGTGAGGCGATGAATCAGTGAACGAGACGACGTCGTCATACCTTCCAACTCACCCTTCAAACATGCAATTTACCGATTGCGCAGAATCGATTGGAATAGTGATCGCCTGGCTTTGATTTTTCGGAGGATTAAAATTATTTTCGGTTTGAATTTTCTTTCTGCTGCTTCCAGAAATGGGTTGGGTAAAATGATGGAGCTTCTTCTGCCAGACACACGACCACGTGACGGGTTACCCGAATTTGTGGTGAGGGCGGTTTATCGAACCGGGTCGGGTTATTTTTTGTAGGACAAACGTTGGCCCAACAAAAATGGCCCAACAGATGAACACTGTTACTTGTTTGGGCCGGATTTGACAGTTACCAAATTGCCCTTAATAATACTTAAATGATCCTTTTTTCTTTTTTCTTTTTTTGTTTTTTTGAGTAATACTTAAATGATTACACGAAAATCATAAAATCCCTCTTTTGGGGCCAGGGAAAAACCCTACCGAACCAAACATCTGCAATTCGTTCTACCGGTAGCAATCCATAAACCCAAAATTTTTAGTTTGAGTGTTGCTGATCTCAATGGTGCTCAACTTGTACTGACCATTCAATTTGGTTCTAATAATCATCTGATTCTATGTTTATCAGTTCCAATTTCTTAAGAACAATTTTGGATGTTCCAAACCATGTTGTTGTTAGATTCTAATCAGAAGTGATTTGCGGCTTCGGATTAAGTGAGGTTCATTTTCCGGAGAGGGAAAAGTGATTATACGATTGCTGGAGTTCAGCATGCGTGAATGGGAGTCGGATCCGTTGTTTGCCGCTGCCGAAGTCGTTCAAGACTCAGCCGACCGGTCTCTCTGAATAAACTTGTCTTGATTTACTTTAATTATAATCTGTAGTGGTAAATGTTTGAAATGTTAGGTTATGTTTTGGGATTTTTGTATTGCACATTGGAAATTGTTTGAAATGTTCTCTTGTTTCCTGCATTGTGCTTGTCTTAAAAAATCAACTATCTGTCTGAGGTGCATTGTAGCTTAGTTAGCAGTCATGTCATCTAGCAAAATTGCTAAATGCTGGAGTGGATTTCTTGTTCGAATCTTGCTTGAAAATTTGAAATTAAAGGCAAATGTATAGAGCTGCTATATAGATCTCACTTGGTTTAATGTTACTTAATCAAATTATTCTGTATGCGTATTATGGCCCGTATCCGTATTCGATCTACAACTATTCTCATTCGTTCTATCGTCACAGTGATAATAAAAACGCCACTCATTAATCTTTATGGTTTTATTCAGTATGGAGTCAATATTTCGCCATTTATTGCACGAACAAAGTCTTGTTCAAGGGGATCGTATAGATGAAAAAATCCCGAGCTCCAGCAAATATCATAGTCGTGATCTTGCTACCACTCTGGAAACAGCAAAATGGCAGGTACTGTCACTGACGAGTAAAACCAACCATTTTCTCTTTATTTATTTATTTTCTCAGCTTATCTCTTTTACTCTGTTCCTGCAGCTTGAAGACTTTGAGAGAGAGGTAAATGCATCCGCGGTAGCTGACAAATCCCAACGGAAGCAAAACGTCATCACAAGGCACCTGCAATTTATTGCGGCTATTAGAGAACAAATTGCCCGTGTTGAAAAAAGCATGAGTACTTCAGTGGGAAACTCGTTGAGGAATATGAATTTTAATGAACAAGACAGAGATGGGTTGGCATTGTTTCTCTCGGGTGGGAACCCCGTTAAACACATAGCAGATCAAGAATCAGATGATAATAATATTTTGAGAAGGTTTCTTGATCCTAATGTGTCATCAAGTTCTAAGGAAGATATTGACGAGAAGAAAACCAATGAAACTATGAGTTCAAAGGTGAATGAGATTGTGTGTGTAGAACATAAGTTGGAGGTAAGCGAGAATTGTCCGACAACAGTGGATTTGGGACCTTCATCTTCTGGTCAGGCTAACTATGATAGATACGAAGAAGGGACATGGGATTTGGAAGCTAATGAGTCGAAAGGTAAAAGTTACTCGCAGAAGAATAATCTGAGAGGTTACTATGGGAGAATTAACATTTTTGGGTCCTTGGGTAATATTATGTCGGCTCTTGAAAATCGAGCTAACAGAAGCTTAACAAAGAGGTTAAAAGACGGGGAGGAACAGAGGCAGTCTCCATCGTATAGCAATGTCCGCCTTGGCATGCTGGTAATTTCCATCAAACACCTTGTTCGATTATAGTGATTTATAGGGTTTCCACTTTTAATTTTGTCTCTGCTTATTTAAGAATTAACCCAATCGTATCGTTTAGAAATCCAGTTTATTGTCGCATCAATAACGAAGGAGAATTTTCTGTTTAGTTGAACTTAACTTCTTTCGTCTGGTTTTATTGCATATGCATGACAGATGCTGCTGTAGACTATACACCGTTGTTGGTCTAAAGTTAATGTATCTGATTACGCCTTGGAAAAACATGTTACTGGAAAATGGTTTTCTGTTATTGTTATTGCGTTTCTCCGATCATTCTTTATTGATTTTCTCGTATTCTTATATGTGTTAATCCTCTCTTCGGCAGAGATACATTGCTCAACTAAGGCCAGCCTTTGGATTCAGCAATTTTCAGTTACCATGTTCATACTTATCCACTCAAGCCACACAGTCGAGTAGCTGGATTAGGTATTACAGTGAAAAATGCCAGAGATATTTACACCGCATCCAAGTTAGATATCACCCAGCGCTATCTGTACTGGCGTTTTTTCTGACACTATTATTTTTAAGTAAGTGTCGTAATATATTTAAATTCGTTTAATGCTGTAATTTTTTTTGTTCTTATTCCGGTATGATGCTTTGATATATACCGGAATAGGACAATATGTTGGGGCGATATTGTTGAACTGACCCCTTCGAATTTGCTTATGTTATCTCTTACATGTTGTCGAAATCTCATGCAACTCGATTTTCTTTGGGCAGGTATGTTGGTTTTTTAAGGCGCGTGAGCATCCACCCCAGTTCAGTTGTTGGGCAAATTTCGTATGTCGAAATCTCGTATTTGTAACTAAATTTAAATTAGCGCGGGTGAATTGTGATTAGAAATGTGGCAATATTTTCTTCGATATTATGATGCTTATTTTTTATTTTTTTTTTAAATTACAGTTAAACGTCTATAAATTAATACCGTTGGAACTAGCAAAATTCTATTAATTTAGCGAACTAATGATTTAGAACTAATGATTTAATACGTTTTCACTGAGTCGGGACCAGAATAAATTATTAATTAAGTGATGATAGTAGTTCTACCGTATATAGAAAACTAGTGAAATTGTTTAACAATTTGTGATAATATTATTGAAAGAAATAGAGTTGAAAAATTAAATTTATAGGATATGATATTATTTTGTTTATATATAAAGGTAAAAAGAACTCGAAGGGAAATATCTGCGTTATTATAATTTTGAGATATTTCAGTAATGAATAATCTATAGCCAAGCTTTTATTCATCGTTTTTTCCTCTTAATTAAAACTAAATATATATACAGAAATTCATAATTAGAAATCGCAAAACCAACTCCAGAAGAAAGAACTAACGCGAAAATGCTTCTCACTAACCCTTCGATGGCAGCAACTAAAATCCCAGTTCTGAAACCCCATAGAAACAACACAGCAAAATCAATGGCGACCAATGCTAACATGAGCAACAATCGAAGAACAGCTGCACCCATTTCTGCTCTTGAATCCCGAGTTTCTCTCGTCTTCGCTCTCGCCGCTCAAACTTCGTCCGTCTCTCAACGCTGTAAGAAAGGAGATTATTAATTTATTATTATTAAATTGTTTTTTTCCATTTCGATTATTGCATTTCGACGGCGCTTTTGAAGCTTCTCACAAATTGTCCCCTTAGTTTTGATGGAGTTGGCGAGTGAGGCCACAAAGTACGTGTTTCCGAATCGGAGGTTCGAGAGCAGGAGCTTCGAGGAAGCTTTGATGTCTGGTAATTCTAAAACCCCCTTTTTGAATTTCTTTTTTGATTTTTTTTTTTTAAATTGATTGACAAACTTATTGGTACTTATTCATGTCTTTTTCGTTAATGTCGGAAGTTCCGGATATCGAGACTGTCGAATTCAAGGTCCTGAGACGGAACGACCAGTACGAAATCAGAGAAGTCGAGGTATTGTATTCTCCGTAATTTGAATAATTGTTGTAATAGCCAATAAGTGTATCAACCAGGCATAGTTATGCAGAGCTTTGTATTTCTTCGTCTTCGGCTTTATGTACTGTACAGTACAGTACATTCGAGTTTTTGCTTCATTTGCTTCGATCCTAGAACCTAGTACTATTTATTTACTACATAATATCATGCACGTGTTTTTGTATCAAGTGATAATTCCTATATCGAAGTGTCTGATTTTGTTCTCCATGTGCGAAAAACAGTCGTACTTTATAGCCGAGACGACAATGCCTGGAAAGGGTGGATTTGATTTTGCCGGATCATCTCGATCTTTCAATGTTTTGGCTGAGTACTTGTTTGGTAAGGTATTTGGAAACTTCTGGAAACCTAAAGAATGATTTAGTTCGGAGTGTTTTTTTAGCGCTTAACATTGATTCAAATCGATGAACTCAGAATACGAAAGAGAAGCAAATGGAGATGACTACACCGGTTTTTACTCGTAGAATAGAATCCGATGGGGAGAAAATGGATATGACAACCCCGGTTATAACTAGAAAGGTAATTGAATTTTTCTATAAACAAAATTCCTAATTACGTTTGATTTGCTTGATTGTGATTTAATGAAGTTCATTTAGGTGGACGATCAAGATAAGTGGAAGATGTCCTTTGTTATGCCCTCAAAATACGGTGCCAATTTGCCATTGCCGAAGGATTCATCTGTGACTATTAAAGAGGTGCAGAAAAGGGTCGTTGCAGTTGTTGCATTTTCAGGTTTGTTTTGATTTTTAAACTCAATTGTACGTAATATAGAACTCGATTTACAGTTTGCAAAATTAAGAAAAAAGAAAGGTTGCTTGCAGCACGTTATTTATTCAGTTATTAAATTCGAGGCAGGATTTGTTACTGATGAAGAAGTTGAACGCCGCGAGTCAACACTCAGGGGCTTAATGAACAATGACCCGGAATTTCGCGTTAAAGAAGGCATCTCCGTGGAAGTTGCACAGGTATATCTGTCAATTAATCAACTTACATATAGATGAAAAATTAAAAATAAATTACCAACCGACGAAATAGTTTCTCTGTAATCTTCTAACTGGATTTTTACATTTTACGATGCAGTACAATCCGCCATTTACACTGCCATTCAGTCGTCGTAATGAAATTGCTCTTGAAGTTGAAAGGAAACGAGAATAATAGATTCAACGTCAAATATAAATATCCGGTAAATATATCAAGACAATGCTCATTTTCTTTTTAAATGCATAGCTACAAATACAGCGTTGCTAGTTACTACTCTCTGTGCTGTACTATGTGATTCTATTGTCTCGTAACGCTGTATATATGTATATAACTATATGTACACAACATATATACACACATGTATATTTTATATATGTTCATATAAAACAATCATGTTGTGCTCTTTTGGTGTGGACATGTAAATGTTTGCTGAATATCCGTGGAATGATTAAAATGTTGGGTAAATTACGGCCAAACCCCTGAGTTAAGGTCAAATTATGAAAACACCCGTTTGTTAGGGTAAATTACGAAAACACCCCTCTTGTTTGGGTGATTAACCACCCCTCAACTATGAATCTTCTTACACGTCCACCCTTATGGTGGCAAAGTCAACTAAATATTTTAAAATTCGTGGAATTGTTCTCTAGTTTGTACTCGTTTTGTGCATTTAGTTTGTACTCGTTTTGTGCAATAATGAAGTTTATGATGCACCACAATCTGTTATTTACAAGCCAAGAGACGTATCTTATAATCATCTTGTTTCAAAATGTGGAGCTCGAATGGGGTAAAATGGGTACAAATCGGAGAATATTCCACATAATCTAGAAGATTCCACCAAATTTGACACAGCAAGAGTGGACGTGTAAGAAGATTCATAGTTGAGGGGTGGTTGTAATTACCCAAACATGACGGGTTTTTTCGTAATTTAACATTACCTCAGGGGGTTGACCGTAATTTATCCTTAAAATGTTTAGTAAAATGCATAAATTTGTTATACGTAAACAATCAAATATAAGTCGAATTCGTTTTCTCTAAAATAATGATTGTGCATTTACTTTTGTATTTCTGAAATATATACATATCTAGTAATGAAAAGATGAGTGGAATCATCTTTTAAAATGCATAATTTTGAAGAATGTCGGACCGAAATTTAAGTTCAGAGGTTCGGAAATAGATACATGCAACTATTGCTAAACAATAGCCTTCACAATCAAGCTTAAGCCTCTCACTTCATCTCGAAAGTTATGTATTATGAGAAATCGTGATTGTTGTTTATGTTAAAAGTAAAATCGGCTCTCTTTATGCTGAAAAGAGACCTTATAAATTTTAAATCCGATTTCGCTTGTGTTTTATAAAAGTAAGATAAAGCCGATGAAGGGATACATAATATTCACAGGTTGAGTTGTGAAAACAAGATAGGCCATTTTGCAGCTCTTTCTTTGAATTGGCTTACTCAAAAACACACATAGGTACGTGATTGCTCTTAAGCCGTGCCTATTTTTCTGTATCTTTTACACATGTGATGAAATAGAAAGCTTGAAAAAATCTACTTTTCTATGTTGTCTTCGGATGATCTTATCTCTCTCTCTCTAGAATAGACAATCTTCTCTCTCTAGAAAGCGGATACTTTAGTTAAATACGTACTAAAACTAATTTACTTCAGGGATACTTTCCAGGGCTGGAGAAAGCGAAACGCCTCTGCCATTAGTACTTTCTTCTTTCTGCACCTGATTAGAAATCAAATCATCAACCGAAACCCCACCGTTAATTAGCATAGCCTGTAGCTCTTTCTTGCTAATCACAAGCTTAATCCTCACAACCGATCCAGTTGCGCGATTTTCATGATTTTCTATTACATCATCTGAAAATCGAACTGTCTTCTTCTTCTTTGTCTTCGTCGTTGTTGTTGTCTTGATAGGAGGTGGTAGTGGAAGAAGATAATACAAGTGGTTTTGAACCATTTCGGTGTTTAGATGCAAGTGTTTTAGTACAGGGAGTTTATCGGATATTGCATGGTTTGAGAATTCGGAAAGAATTTGATGAACTTTGATCGGGGATTTGTATTCGAGGATTTTGCCGTCTGTTTTCATCACCCTCACAATCTTTTCTTCAAGAACTAGGCAGTTCCCCATACTAGTAGAGCTCTAGTTACAAGCTATATGATATGATATTACAGGCTAAGGAATATGATAATTGGCTTTTAGCTTCTAGTTTAAGGTTGTTGTGACTAGATTTGTGCGTGTAATATTTATATGGGAAATGTTATGAGGATGCCCTCGTATTTCACAAATATTACAAGAAAGACCTGTGGTCACTTTTTGGGCCCACCTTGTTGATTTTTTTTTTTTTTTTTTTTTTTTTTGGTGTTATGCATCTCTAGTAGTAATAACTAGGATAAAATACAATCACTTCCCTGAGGTAAGGTCTATTAACGGAAACCCCCCTCATTTTTCCATAATTACACTCACCCCTTTCAGTTTGTAGATTTCTTACATTAACACCCCATTTGTAGGGGTGGATGTAAGAAATTTATAAACTGTAGGGGGATGGATGTAATTTCTAAAAAATAAGGAGTTTTTTTGTAATTACACTACATCGCAGGGAGGTGATTGTAATTTACCATAACTAAGTATGCACGCCACATATATTAGCAATTGAAATCATGATATTGTCTTATTTTGTATTGCATACTTCATATATATACTAAAAAAAAAATACAGACTTGTAATAGAAAACATGAAAGATGATGCTAGGTCGAATTTGTTACACATAACTTACGTCTAGTGTAATTTACATCTTCTTGAAGTTAGTGGGTTAGTACATATATAGTTGGTTGCAAGGTTTTTTAAAATTAAATTATTAAAAAATATTATTTTCATGTTAAATAGTTATATAATATTTGAGGATATTCAACACGGGTTAGAGCCTAGAGGGAGAATGTGTTACGCTGTATGTTGAATAAAATAATAGTTTATATCTGCACTTAATTAAGACTTGTAGTCAACGAAGAAACGTGATTCTTATTTTGTGAATTAAGTTAATTATTAGTACTTTGCTAATTAATCATCATTTGTGTGGCTAAAGCAAAGAGATTAATTGTGTGTATTCTCAACTGAATGCAAGTAAATCCACCATGAATGGAGTTACTGTTACTATAGTAGGTTAGGTTTAGGTGGAGCATTGCCAAACTTTATTTATTTATTCTTTTTTACTGCGTATATAAAAAAAAAAGGTTATTACTTAAGATCCAGTAGGACTATTTCAAATATATCTCTAGTTAGTGGGGTTGACTGGGTTGTAACATTTATCTAGTAATTTATTCCATTATTTCCATTTTTTTAGCCTTACCTATATACTTGCATTAGATAAATTTCGTTTTTAAAAATTAAAAAAAATAGTAAAAGTGCATGATCATATATGTGTACTAATCTGCAAACTACATGAGAGGTGTGAACATAACTGAGCAAGTTATGTGCGACGAACTCGACCTGAAAAGTGTTGACAAAGAGAAAATCAAGCCCAAGTTGTTCGTTAGAAATTGTGCTCTCGTTAGTATTTGTTAACAGGTGTTAATAATCTTGTGTGTTATATGATTTCTACTAGGTCATCCTCCATAGCTCACCATTTTAGGTAATTAATTATTTCTATTCTTGCAACATAGTTATCTGCTAAACCCCATTATTTATTATAGGTCAGGTTGGACCTAATTGTGAAAATTACTTTTCACCTTCAAATTCTTCTTTCGTATATTGTTAGCTATGTTAAGATTCCACTTCATGGACCACTTAAGCACTAACATAATCTTTATATTTCGGGTAGTAATTCATCTATTTTTAATTTAGTGTTTCATTCTGTATTTTATATCATAAACACATGTCAGTTGTATACTATATATATAGTTCATATTTCCAATTTAATTGTAGGTAGAGAGACGTACAAAAAAAATGTGGTGGGGCTATTCAAGAAAAAAGAAAAAGAAATTGACCAAAAATGTAAATAAGAGAAAATGGTTGATTGTGAATTGTGATGATGGGGACCTACTTGGAATTAGTGAAATGTGGTGGGTTTAGTGCTAAATGATGTTATCAGCACGAATGCCTGATTTATGGATGTCCAATGAATTTAAAAACAAATGATGGTTTATATTTATTTATATTATTCTTTTTACTAGAGTTTGGAAATTCGGATTATTAACGAGGCCATTGAGAAGAAAAAAAGGGGAATTAATATTGGAGGACAAAATTATGAATTTGTGAAAGGTTAGAAATAAATGGCGCACTCTGTGTATGAATTATGAAATAGATGATCATATTAGAGCATCACCCACCCAATTTACCTGGTACATGGATAAAACCTAAAAGGTAATTTGTCTATTTGTACATATTCTAATCAACCGAGGTAAAGTTCATGAGGAAATCTAGGCTAAACTCCATAGTCCTAAACGAGGCCCGATAAAAAATCAATCATGTTCTTAGGTCTCGTTTGGTTGTCAAGATAAGATTATTCAAGACAAGATTAATTAATATAATAAAAATTCAATTACTTTGTTGCACCCCGAGACGTCCAACAAAAAAATTGTCTAAAAGGCACTATAAAACATGATAGCATAATGTTTACGATCAAACCGAGAAATTATTGAATTTAACAAACATCAAACAAGGTCCAATTTTTTTAGTTAATCTTAACCGATCTTGGCAACCAGACGATGCCTTATTATATTGATGTATTCATGAAATTGTGGGGTATCCTACGAACTACCAGAAGTAGTAATCCAGTCTTGAAAATATGTCGTTGTAATGGATTTTGGAACAGAATTTTCAGACATGTGCCAACTCTAATTCTTTAATGTTAGAAATGATAGAGCTCTTTAATTTTGTCAAAATAGAGGGGCAAGTAAGTACAAACAACTAGAATAGTAGTCGAAAATGAGTAGGCAGATTTCGGAACCAGTCCATACAATCACCATCTACTTTTGCCACCCACACTCACTCACCAATCTAAACCCATTATATTTCTATTATTTTCACTCACTTTATGCCTTCTAGACTTATAAAAAAAATAATAATAATAAAAAGCAATTAGGGACCGGACCGGGGTCGGCTGACGCGGCGACATTCTATTTTCTCGAAAGTGAAAAAATAGTTCTAATCGCGTTCCGAAAAATACAAAAAATAAAATTAATATATAAAAAAAATTGTAAATCCTAATTTTCAAAATTCGAAATAAAAAATTATTATTACAAAAATCGGAAAAAAAAATTAAATCAGAATCGACGAATTACGTTCCGTTTAACTAGTGGGCTGTCTTCGTGGATTATGATTTTGGTATGGGCCCTTATGAATGTTCGACCCGAATTAAATAACACCACCAAAAGGCCCGCCTAACGAAAAAAGCCCATTAACTTCTTGCAAATTACGGAAAGACACCTGAAATCCAATATGCGCTTTATACTTTCAGGTAAATCGTAAACATGGCTTAGTTGCCGTTGCTGCCGAGTTCGAATTTCCTTCCAATTTTTCTAGGTTAAGCTTCAAACACATTCTGGCTTACATGTCTCGTGTTATCCATCAGCTTGATCAGCAGCGGGTACATTTTTGTAGCTTTTTTTGTTTCGTTTTCTTTTGATCGTACATTTTCAATTGATGAATCGCCGGTTCGATTTTCTTTGTTTCAAATGAAGCATGTCGTTTTATGGATCTAGTCTCGTTTTATTTTCCTTTTTTTGCTTGGTTATGTTGAATTGCGATTTGCGAAGCTTGATTGAACGAAATCATCAGAGTTAATTGTGATGATACACTCTGTTGAGGTAATATATATATGCCTGCTGTGAACTTGTGCGCATGTGTTAGACAGTGATAACTGTTTGTATTGATTAGTTTATGTTTTTCACGAAAGATCGCCGTACAGTGGTTGGGTCAATATCGGATACTAGGTCGAAAAATTGGGTAAGCAGTATACATAAACCTCGTAATGTTACAATGTTCCATACGACTCGACAACAATGCGGATGGAGAAAAAACCAATTCAAACTGAAAAATAGGCTGTGTTTTTCTTTATTCGAATGATTAATACTTTCATAATCGAAGTACCAGGATTCTAGGGCTAAATTCTTGAGCGGTAGCTTTTGCCAACTTTGCGTCTCAGCTCCAGCTAAAGCCGTTCAAATCCAACTTTGTGCAATTTGAAGCAATATTGTTTTCATCATTTGTGTTGAGGTCCAAGTTTGTTGAGACGAAAGGTAGTTTGAGTTCTGTTGATGCCTTCTGCTTCTCTGGTCTAGACAAATCACTTCTATTAGTGTTATGATCAAAGAATTTGGCATCTGCTTTTGCTTCTTTAAACGTTCCCTCTCGATAGTTGCTATCACCATTCCATTGATCACCCAGTAAGTCAATGTTCATCGATAAACTGTTGAGGTTGGTTTCTGCATTTTCGACATTGTTATTCGCCCTTGAAAGATACTTTCCGCTCTCTTTTAGGTTCTCACGCCACATGAGTTCCGTTTTCTGTAGACTCGTGTCTTTGTCATTAACCTTTGACTCCATAGATGCTCTAAAATTGAAAGGTTTTAAACCAAGGTTATTATGCAGTTCTTGGTCCATCACAGAACCTTCAAATGAGTTTAAGCAGCTATCCATAGAACAATCTGCTGCCTGAGCTTTTTGTCTTTGCTGCAGGCTTGTATCCGAGAGTTCTTTCATTCCTGAAAATGCTCCCAAGTTCTGACTTCCAATGGTTTCCTGTGCCTTTTCTAGTACAGACTCCAAATATTTACCTTGAGCTTCTATTCGCAGCTGCAAATGACGTTGTACCTATCAAAAGAGAGTAATACTTATTACAACATCAACATTTAGCTTTTAGAGTACTTTGAGTTCTCTGTGATCAGTTTTCTTTTAATCGCCGATGATATTTTTGTGGTAGTGGTGGTTTTCAAACTCTAGTATTCATTCAACTTCTCTTTTCTGCTCTTTCATTTTTTCTGTTAACATGTATTTGTTCGATGGTAATAGAGTTCCATTAAGTATTCATACTTTCCCTTTTTCCAATCAAATGATAATGAATAGCTACATGGAAATCTGCTAAGTTGTTTACCTCCAGCTGTTCGTGTAGTCTTTGTTGCACGTTAATTTGCATCTGTATTGCTTCGCCGAGATGTATATTTCTGAATTATATTATAGAAATGTGAGCTCAGATAAACATATGAAAATAACAGGATAAACATATTTTCAGGTTTGCAGTTCGTACTTTGTTGTTTGGGTTGCAATATTAGGATTACTCGTGTGAGGCTCGGGTACTCTATCTGCTGTGGCTGCCATCAGTTCTCAATCATGTCAGTGAAATTATATATTATATTTATAATATAAAAGTATGCTCCAGCAAATTTATGATTTCTTACAAGCTTTATTATTATTCCCACTAGTAGCTTGTCCGTAATGAGTTTTGCTGAGTCTGTACTTCTGCAAGTAAAATTGATGAAGTCTGAGATCATCTGGTTATAATTGAGGCATGCATGTAACCAAAATGAAGCCCGAGGCATTTGGTTACACAGATAAATGCATGTCTGAAAAAATGTATGACCGTTCGAGTTCATTATGCCTACTATGTTCTCTCATGATTTTGCCAAGTATTGTTAGTCGATTTCCTTAAATCTGAAGTACAAATCGGTGTATGCCTTTTTTTAAAATAATCTCAAGTTTTGAGTGGACTTGGTACCTAAGATTGCATTTGTGACGAATAACTGACCTGAAGATGACTCTTTAAGTGGTATAGAGTTAATCCTGGTATTCCCATAAGTTTCAAGACTGACTTTGGAGTAGCTTCTGCAACACCAGGAATAATGTAATTAACCATATGCAAGACACTGTTACTTGGTAATTCCAAATTCAGAACTTTATTTAAGCTTACTTTCTGCTCCACCCAATTGGTTTACTGCTTCGATAAACCGTTCATGGAGGTCAGCGGTCCATTTTAGTCTTGGCTTAGCATCAGTTGACAGCATAAGTCCCGAATCTCCGTTGCCATTCGCTCCTTGAAGGAACAACGGCCTTTCATGAGGTTGAATGGACATCTTCGAGGAAGGGTGAATGTTCTTTCCTTGGCGATGATACATTTTGTTGTCTTCGATTTAATAGTTTGTAGTGATCAGCTCATGTTTGGAGTGTAAGGAAGTGAAACGGTATCAAGAAATAATTATACCTGAAAATGATTTAACGTGCCTGCACAATCTGCTGCAACCTTGAATGCGAGTTATGATTCTGATATATTCTGGTGGTATTATTTTGCAATCTGATGCTTGGTAAAGAAGCTATCTACTAATGGCCTTGTATGTTATTTGTTTCTTTGACCCGATTTTGCCTATCAGAGTTGTACTTGGGGATGTCTTATAAGCATAGTGAGAGAGAGAGAGAGAGAAGGAAAGGGAGAGAGAGTAGAATACAAGTGAGGCATAGAATCTTGGAAAGGGACAAAAGAACATCAGATCCAATCCAATCTTATAGCGACATGAGAAGATATCTTGTCCTTCCATTTTCATGCACCCATGGGTCCTCTCTTGCAACTTCTCTTTGTACTACTGACTTATAATTCCTTTCACTATGACTAATTGAAATGTAATGCCTTACAAAACGTACGAGAATAGATCCACCTCAGTCTTTCTTTTTCTTGCACTATGTATTTGTCATCTGCAAAGTTAGGAACCTTATTCCAAGAACGGATGGTGGAATTGTTTTCCCTCTGATGGGATTGGAGGAATCCACTATCTATCATGTCTGAAACATTCAAAGTCATTTTTTTCCGCAAAGAAGATTCTATGACTGAAGCATCTAGTTAGCATTGGATGCAATTTATAAAGTTAAAAAGAAGGGGAAAAAAAGACACTGGTCAGTTTATGCTCCCTTGATGTTCTCCCAAGTCCAGGTTTTAGTAAACAAATAGAACACTTGCCTTTTTACCCTGTTTCTCTATTTAATTTTGTTATGGACACACAGTATAATAATAAGGTGAGCATGGAAATGTTCAAACATCCTAGACTTGGTTTCATGGTTAGCTTGACATAAGAAATGAATTTAGCCATCTGGACTATATAGACATCAATTTTTTACGCCATTGTTCTGGTTTTTCTAAGTTCTTTTTCCAAACAATGTTAAGTTCTTTACTGCTTCCATTTTACTTTTACTGTCTTTCTCTCTCTCACACACAGATTGATCCTTCTCAATACAGGTTGGAGATTCTTCTGGTAGTGCTGGAATTTATTCACGAAATCGAGATACCTGCTACGTGTTGCAGGTCTCTGGAGCATCACACCATCAATTGTAGTACGTGTCAACACGCTCTTGTCTTCTTCTTTGATGTAAAGTCAATAGATTTGAGTATATTTTTTCTTGAAAAATATTATACGTGTTAAGAAAATATATCAAGTATTCTCATATCTGAACATCTGAGTTGTGAAAAAGGGGAAATGCTTCTTCTTAGCTTTGTTTGAAGGCCAGGAATGGCATAACGAACACATTCCCTTTTGTTTCCTTATGAAAGTTTGGTACTTATTCAGCTTAGACAGAATTAATAAAGAGATAGGTGAGGTCCCAACTATATCTTTTAAATTCTTCAAATATGGCACAAAGAAGATGGTCCCAGTTTATTGGGACCCTTTGAAAAGAAAATAAAGAGATTGTACTTACTTCTATACTTACATTGAATGGAAAAATGACAAGTCATTACACGAAGATTACCAGTTGCTTTGGCCTTGACTTGAGTCTTAAATGCATCTACAGTACTTGAACATGAACAGATAAATGCTTCATTTTCGTATAATTATAATTTCTAATCTCTTTATGGGAGTATCCTTTAAAATGGAAGAATGTCAATATATGTCGCTTCATGACACCTTTTTAGGTAAAAACCTTATGATATGCATAGATTTGTTGTTTCGCGTTATTGCACTTTTAATATGGCATAACCTGAAGATTAATGCATTCATCATCTGTACGGGCCTATGCTGGACTTATTAACCTTTTTTTCATGGTTAAAATGGAAATTCTTCAGGTGGCATTTGAAGTACAGTAACAATAAAGACAAGCAATCAGTAATGTCGATAAAATCGGAAATAAATTATAGATCTGCATGTACGGTGGTGCCAACCGGTGACTCACTATTAGACTCAATATGGCGACTACCAACTGGTAAATGTAGTATTTTACATACTGCCTGTGTTGTGTCTCAAGTAGAGAACCATTATAAACTGATACACTATTATGCTTAATTAAAAGTTGAATATTAAATTATTAAAGACCTGATGCCAAGTAAATAATATTCCTCTGCCTTGAACAAAGTCTGTACATTTGTTCTAATAAAGGTTTGAGGAGGCAGTCCTCTTATTCTCATATATTAAGATAACTTATGCAGTTTGGAGGAATCTGTGAAAACCTTTATACAAAGTGGTAAAGCAGAATTCTTCAATAGTTCTGCTGGCATGTGGATAAGAATGACTTAAAGATAGGCTCAATAAACTGTCTCGGACTTGCTTAAACTACAAGCATCCATCTAAGTTAATTACATTTGTCGCTAATTGCATGAACTTAAACATGTTTGGTACTATAGGATCGAAACAAAAGTACGCGATATTATCAAAATTCTAAGATAAAATTATTTGAAATGACTGTAGAAACAAATTGCATAGTGGACAAAATTTTGTTCCGAGAGGCACAATTACAACTATATTTAGAGCTACCTTTATTTGATGTTGCCATAAAGTCACCACACTTGTGCTCTCTCTCTCTCTCTGTTGGATAGTACGGTACGATAGGCACCCTCCACTTTTTAACCATATTGCATTCCATTTTTTCTTCTCTATGCATGCATGTGTATAAATATTCTCAACTTTCCTTTTTCTCTCTTTAGACTCCTCTATTAGGTTGCTTAGTTTCACTTAGAAGAACCTTAAGGCTGTGACAGTCGACTACACGTGATTGTATTGACTTAATAAGATCGAAATAGCCACATAATTCTATTCGTTACAGGGGAAAAAAAACAAAAACCGAAGAGGCGAGAAAGAGTGAGATTCTGAGGAATAATGGAATTTTAGAATCTTAACTCAAAGTAAAGGTGATGGGCTGGATTCTCAAGTCAAGAATATTGCTTATTCTTTCCTACTCAAGGCCACCAAAAATGGGTTCCATCTTTATCCGATCCTCTTGGTGAACAGTTTATATAAGATTCCTCTCATCAAGCATTCACGGATGATTATTGGTAAGTGATTTTCTTTTTCGGCCAAGTATTGTTATTAATTAATATATTCCTTGCTAATTAATTGCTCTTTTCTGTGAATATTTTTATAACTTATGTGCTAATATCCATTTAGTCAATTGGCAAGTTGCTGTCTGAACTCTAATCAGTCGTTGTGCGAGAGAATGAAATATTTGATTACATTATGGATGCCATTTTACGAAAGTAATACTAATATTGAAGCTCAAGTTCCTAACATTCTTTCTGGCTTGATTATAATGTTAGTGGAATATTAGCACATAGAGCACCAACTCTTTCATGCCTCTACATAATTTTCTTTAGAATAGCCATAAATGAATTACTTGCATAGTTTTTCGATCAAAATTCGAGTTTTTCGATCTGAATATGTGTGTATTGTTAAGTACCCACTTTGCACACATCTACATGTATAGTGCCTGATCGTGTGTAGACCTACGATGTAATGATATTTAGAGTATTTCGCCCACCGTACAATAGAATAATCTCGTTGGAGTTAGATGAGGATCAATAAGGATAGATATTATTAGATGTAACCGATAATCTATTTTAATTTAATCATAATAAGGTTGGATGGATGTGTTCAGATGCTTGGTCTGTTTGAGTAATCTTTGGACAAGTTAAAAGGGCAATTAAAGGTGGGGTTGTTTGAGAGAAATAAGCATTTGTTCGAATGCTAATGCAAATTGAGGCTATGTTGCCACCAAATATTTAATTAGCTGATAAAGTTAAGATTTTGTGTTGAACTAGGAACAACATTTATGCTCACTTGCGCTAGCTAGTTGGGAAAAGAAAAAGAAAAAAAAACCCGCAAGGGATGATCTAGCGGAAGCAAGTGATTGATTCAGGTTTGAATCTCTTTACCAACAATCGCTAAGTCGAGCCTAGTGTGATTTACGTCTCACATGGTTAGCCTAGTGTTGTTTGCGTCTCTCGTATAGTTTATAAGTTATTATACGAGACTGTAGGTTTACCCAGTACACCTATATGATCGGTTGCGAATTCCTTTATTTAAATAAATAATCAAAAAAAAAAAAAAAACAGAACCATTTATGATAACTTCTAATAACGTCATTCATTTCAAAATAATCGCGGTTTGAGATTTTAGGAAAATGTATATTACATGGCTAATTTATTTTTCCAACTAATTCTCCTTTTATATATATATAAATAAATTACTCCCTCCGCTTGTGGATTAATATTTAACAAAATCTATGAGTAACATGGGTAAATAATGGGGAAAAAAATTTATTGCAACATTTGGTATTATAAAGTGAAAAATAATATGATACACAAAAATATGTATGGTATTGGAAAAATATATACAATACCACTAAAATATTATTACCTCTAATTCTCTAAGAAAAATTAAATAAATAATTTATGAATAGTGGGAAAAATTATAAACAATAATTATTACCAGGCCCAGTGTTCTCACATGAGTTACTAATTAAGGCCCAAATAGTTTCGTTAATGGTTAATAACCAGGCCCAGTCTTATTGGACCTAATACCTAGGCCCAATGTTTTTGGACTTAATAACCAGGCCTAGTTTTATCTCACGTGAGTTACTAAGGCCCAAATAATTTCCTACATGGTTACCTGCCTCTAAATATTTAAAAAAGAAAAGGAGATTTTTTTTTATCTTTTTTTTTTGTAATCACTTGTTTAAATATAAAAAATAATAATTTATTTAAAGTAAATAAAATGGAAGAAATAATGTAAGTATTTAGGCAAAAAGAATTGGTGAAAGGATTATCTCGAACAATTTCCCACTATATATCTATCGCTGTTGTGGTACCAGTCACCAGAAGAGAATTGTCAAGTCAGTTTCATCATATCTTTGCTTGTATGGTCTCGGCTAGTTTTCCCATCTTATTACGATAAAAAGTTGCTCAACTTTTAACTGTAGCCATTTTATGTGGAACTTTCTTTATATTCCACTTACTCATCTTCTTTTTTTTTTTGTTAAATTTATTTATATGTGTTTATTTTTTTGCTAAAATCGGTGGGAAACAGAATCTGCTGCAGCCTACTATCTAGGTTGACTAATTCCACATTATTTGATGATGCATGAGTTAGGGAGATAGTGCCACTACCAATTGAGCTACACGCCACAAGGTTGATGATTATTATGCTATGTTCGGCAAATTACGGACCACGTGGGGTATGCTCAAATTACTAAAATATCCCTCATATTTGGGTAATTAAAATTAAAACCAGCTCTCAACTATGCATTGTCTTACACGTCCATCCTTTCGGTATCAAATTTACCTACTGAATGAGTGGTTTTTTCGTAAGACAATAGTCAATACATAGTTGAGGGAATGATTGTAATTTGGGCTTCCGTCGGGGTGGCCGTAATTTACCCTATATTAAATGATTTATATTCAATTTAGATGTTTTGTTTAATTTTTATGGTATTTTATATTATATAAATGTAGGATCCAAAGTGCATGAGTTTGTAGTGCCCACACCATTTAGGTGTCATATTAAAAAAACCTTCTTTTGTTTATTGTCAAAAATAAAAATTGAAAATGGCCGGTGTTAAAGCGGTGTTAGCAGGGGAAGGTTTATATTCGTATTACAAATACTTTTCTAGAAGAGGATGTCACATTTTTTTTTAATAATAATTAGTGGCAATAACAGAGGTTTGACTCTCGTTTAGTGACAAGTTGTGTTAGTTTTCCTATGTGGTCACAAAATGTTGACGACATGTCTCAAGGGTTTTTTGTTCAGGTACCTATTGTCCATCTAGGAAAATGGCTTCATAAAATTAATTTAAAATTAAGTTAGTTATATCTTATCTTAATATATGTAATGTAAGTGATTGGTGTGACAGAAACAAAATTGCATGATTATCCTCACGAATATAATCCCATCTCTTTGCTGGTGAAATTTGTCCTGATTTATGTTCCCATGCATTAAAACTATTATATTTAATAACATAGAAAACCCTAAAAAAAATCCACTTTAGATAATTACATATCTAAAGCAAATAACTACAACTCTATTGCTAATTGCATATATGTTTAGTTGTTTAACTAACTAATGATTGTAACATGGCTTTAGGTGTGTGTATAAAGCCACACGCATAAAGATAAAAATCTTGTCCCTCAACAGAAAACTACTAGTGGGAAAAGTTGTATCTATATTTGTTGGTTTGCTGCAGTACATAGCCCATCGTTCACCACCATATCATTCATTCATTATACAGCTTACAGCTTTACAAAAACCATTCAATTATTTATATTTAGCCATCCAAAAGTTTACTTCAAATTAGCTTATAAGTTATAATGATGGCTGCTCCAAGATTTGCTTTCTTCATCCTTGCAACCATCCTCTTTTTTGTTCACTCGTTCTCTACTCCCACACAACGTACGTCTTTCTTTCTTCAACTATGTCTTCTGTGTGTGTGTGTGTGTGTGTGTGTGTGTGTGTGTGTGTGTGTGTGTGTGTGTTGGGGGTGGGGGTGGGGGGTGCTTTTGCTTTCGATTATGTTCTTTGAATTATTTTGTCCTAGATTCTTGAATTACCGGTAGGAGATAGCAGAGTAGGTTCTTGGTTCTGTATGTTTTATGTCATCCTTTTTCAAGAAAAACAAAACAGGGTTTATTCTTTTGTTGTGAAATTATTTCAACTCCAAGCATGCATGTATTTGTTGCATCGAAGTGGCGTATTTATCATATTATATCCGTATTTACTATCACGTGTCAATTTAGCTGTCATTTGTTATCTTGGGCTGTTCTGAATGTCATTTGGACAATTGAATTTTGCTATATTGTACTTCACATAGCAAAAGGACAGGTATATCTTCTAACATTAGACGTGAATCTTGAATTTGGACAAGAAAACATAGTTAACTAGACAGATACACTTAACTTATGAAACCTTTTTCGGTTTTCATCTTCTTTCGGCTATATTCAGACCAAGAAAATTTGCATATATTGAACCTGTGAACAGATGTCTAATTTATGATATTTCTCTACCTAATTACTGATGAAGAATAAATAAAAAAAAAAAATTGATTGTTTTTTTTTTTAAACAGAGGGTGTTGGAGAAGCAATGCAATTCACATACGCAGGAGCTACAGGCCCTGACAAATGGGGAAGCATCAACCCGAATTTCTCCATGTGTGCAAACGGAAAATCGCAGTCTCCGATTAACCTCTTGACAGACAAAGCCGTTCTTAACAGGAACTTAAAGCCTTTGCTCAGATCATATGATCCCACAAATGTCACTTTGATCAACAACAAGTTCAATGTTGGGGTTAGTTAGTTTCTTCCCAATTCTCTCGCTCAATTAAAAAATAAAATAAAAAATCATTTGTTTTATGTGCTAACATTTCTGTACACAGGTGCGTTACCCTGCTAATTCAGGGTCTATGGTTGTAGATGGCAAGATATATACCTTGAAGCAAATGCATTGGCATTCTCCTTCTGAACACAGAATTAATGGAAAACAGTATGTAATTATTTCATTTTACGTTCTCCTCTTTATACACTTACATATTTTAAATTCAATATGTGAGTGTGTGTGTGTATATAGGTATGCTGCAGAGCTTCATTTGGTGCACATTGCTGATGATGGAAGTGTTTCTGTAGTTGCGATTCTTCTCGAATACGGACAACCCGATCCACTTCTTGCTAAGGTGAAAGTTCAAACAAAAAATTAAAAAAATAAACAATGAAAAAATTCTGCTTAAATCAAGGATGGGAATAAAATAGCTAATATTTTTGCAATGGTTCTTGATTTACAGATACAGAAAAAATTGAATGAACTAGCATATGAGGTGAAAAGCCACGAGGATACCCCGATTCCAGTTGGCCCGTTTCACCCGACCGAAGTGAGGAAAAGAACCCACAAGTACTATAGATACATTGGCTCGTTTACCACCCCTCCTTGCACGCAAAATGTCGTATGGAATATTCTTGGCAAGGTAGTAGATACTAAATAACATACTTTGATTGTCCTAAACATTTTCTTTATAGTTGAGATAAAAAAAATTAATAATGTTGTATACAGGTGAGATCAATATCCAGAGAGCAAGTGGAGGCTATCAGGGCTCCCCTGGACACAAAATGTAAGAACAATGCTCGGCCTTGCCAGCCAATGAACGGACGACACGTTGACCTATACGACGAGGACATCATTAACGCTCATAAGAAACGGTACTTAAAGCACTAATGCATATCGTTCACAATGAGAAATTTGCTTTTTAGATATCTTTGTGTGTGCGCTCACTTTTCAAAAGGCAATAATCTCTGTGACAGTAAATTGAAGTATCAATAAAATAATTTTCATGTTTGAAGCCGTACATCAATAATGCACAAGTTGCATTATTGATTATATATTATAGTCAATTATCGTGTGATATTATTAGTTACTTCAAATATTCAATGTTTCGTTTCCTCTTAATTAAGATTTCGTACTCACACAGGGTCAAATTTCTCGATTTTTTTTGGGATACTAATTTCGATCCGATTCGTGCGACTTGCCCTCAATACTTTCTTAGGGAAGACTTGAGCATACTACTAAGTCTAGAAAATGACAGAATATGACTTGGAATTAGGAAAAAAGAAAGACTATAAAAAATGTGTGCATTTACTTCGAGGAGTAAAACTGAGCTATCATATTCTTTTTCAGAGAATTAATGGTCAAGTTAACTCTTAAAAAAGTCAACAAAATGTTCCTTATTTCCTAATTAGACGTGGAAGCAATCCATTTGCTCCTGTTGAACTATTCTCTATCAAAAAAACAACTTATTAATTATATTGCCAACTATGCCCTTGTATTAGGAGTTGTTATTTTCAAAATCTACATTTGGAAAAAATAAAACCATTAACAGAAAATTCAAAATTTCAATCCGGAAGATATATGTTTTATATTTACAATGTCCTGCCATTTATCGAGTACAAAAATATGAGACAATAATGAAGGGTAAAAAGGGTAAAATTGAAAAAGAGTAACTATTGAACGAGCCCCGTCTTCCACTCAACAACTCTGCCGCCAACCACCACGTAAGACTTTCACGCGCCTCCAGCAAATCAGCTTCTACTGATGGGACCCACAGCCACATGCCGATCTGAATCCATCGCCACTGATATCGCCTGGTTTATATCCTCGGCGGCCCAGGAAACCGACCGCCGACCCGATGCGAACCTATTCACCCCTCCCAAACCGGGAGGCTCGGCCGCCGTTCCGCCACCAACCGGAATTTCCCGCACTCTCAAACTCACGCTCTTCCGCTGAGGCTCAGCCACCACCCCCACCGCCGGCGGCGGCTCCTCCGTCACCTCCACCACCTTCCTACTCCCCGATCGAGAAGGCTTCCGGTGACTTTTATTTGACCTGAACATGCTCATTACCTTAGAATAGAAGCCGGTCTTGTGCTTATTCTCACCGCCGCCGCTCCTCGATTTCTCGATAGGGTTTTCCTTTTTCTTCAACGAATTAGACCGGCGGCGGCCGCGCTTGGACCGGACTCTCCCCATACACGAAACCTTGGGGGATCCCGGTTCCGCCACGGGAACCGCCCGCTTTCCGGCCACCGACTCGGATCGCTTGGGAAACAGCCTTATATTGGGCGGTTTGCAGGTCCTCCGTTGAGAATCAACGAAGGTGGTTTTCTGTGTCTTCGGCAACCCGATTATGGACGCCTTAGACTTCAAATTAACGGAAGGCCGCTGAGAATTGGAGCTAAAGTTATTGTTGTTCACGGCTGGGTTATTCAAATTTGTCGAATTCGAGTTGCCTTTGGTGGACTCCTTCCGTTCGTACACGGCGTTACGATCGAACCAGTCGTACTCTGCTTCCTTCGACAGCCAGAACGATTCCGGTGGGAGATCCGGCTCCACGTCGACGATGACGTCATTTTTCGTCGGGTTGCCCTCCGCGCCGCCGCCTTCCGCCATAGTCTCGCAGGCGATTTTACATTCGTTGCCTCCGCCGTCTGCCGTCTGAAGATCGACCTCAGGCATTACTACTTAGGTTTTCTAGAGAGAGAAATGCAAAACCTAGAGAGAGAGAGGGAGAGAGACGTGATGGTGTGAATTGGTTGAGAATATAATGCAAGTCACAGGAGAAAAATAGGTGTAATTTTAAATACTTTAAAATTGCAATTTGTCGATTTAATAATGATATGGTTTTGTTAGTGGTTTAATTTAATTTAAAGTTTCAACACTTGACTGGTGATTTCAATTTTTTGCATTGGTTTCAACTTTCAACTTTATCTACAAAAAGGGAGAGGGAAACAAGGTTCAAAATTTTATGCCAATAGATACAAAAAGCAAAAAGTTATTAAAATGATGGCTTACAAATTAATATAATCATTTCACTTAATTAATCAAAATTCAAACAATGTTAGTTGTATTTGTTTCCATTGGTTATACAATGAAACGATACTAACATTCACCTATATTCAGAGCAATTAAAGTTATGGACCTAGCCGAATAAGTTTCGCCCCAATATAATAAGTTCTCGGGCCTTAAGAGCGTTGGCTAAATTTATAAGCTGTTAAAAAGAATTTATATGATAATTAATAGTTTATAAGCTATTTTAAAATTTAAAGTGTTTGATATTTTTTCAGAAAAAAAATACTTATTTAAATAAAAAAAATGCTGGAGAGTCTTTAAGATTTTTTTTAAAGTATATTTACCACACCTTTTTTATTTAACATCTTATAACAAATAAAAATAGCATATAGGTTCATTATACAACTATTTTTAAAAATAGTTCTAAAAATGAGACATAACAACTTATGATCTTATTAAACGTAAGAGTAAATCAACTGTTTAAAATGAATTTAGTCAAATATGCTCTTAACATTTCATATATTACGAAGTAAATTATTGTATTTTAAATTTTTAAATATATCATATATTAATATGTTCGGTGACATGAAATATTATAAATCGGAAACTTTCATACTTGTACCATTATTAATAATGTATCATATGCTAGGTTGTCTAGATCAATATTACAAACTTAATTAAAATATTTGTATCATCATCATCAAGACACACCACTATCTTACCATGTGATTGTGGAGTCGGTGTTGCAAAATATTTTCCACTTGAATCTAATTCTCCAAATTCCCATTTGAATTATTGAATCATCGATATTTAATTCCAAGATAAACCAATAACTGAGTTGTACCCCCATTTTTTTTCTTGATATTCACATTTGTTCCCCTTTAATAAACATCGATAAATAGACATTAACAGAAAATAAAATTCATTAAAAAAAGTGACATTTTTTTTATGGAAATAAAATGTCAATTTTACCCCCATCCGATTTATCCTAGAGAAAACGGCTTGTCTCGATTTTTGTCCCTAAATCTCAGTTTGGAATTAGGGCTTCTCGATTCGCCATTTTTACGCCGTCGAAAGTAATCTGTTTAACACAGCAAACTAGGGTTTTGCCTGGTTCCACTCTTTGTATCTAATTATATCGGAGAATTACTAAGCAATTAGCAGAGGGATGAATAACAATCTGACGCCGGAGGCGGCGGCTCAGCTGCAAGAGGGAATTAGTTTGCTGCTTTCTCGGTGGGCTGCGTTTCAAATGGCCGTCCAGAACGAGTGGGGCGGCCGTGACTCTGGCCAGAAACCCCAGCAACTCGCCGACAATATTTTTCATCTCCTCACTCAATCCAAAGGTATATATATCTTTTTTTCTAGGTTAGTTTTATAGCTGCAATTTCACATGACATGAATTTAAGCGCTTGTAGCTTTCGCACTACTACCACCTTTGATTTTTTTTTGGCATTAGGGCATTGTGATTGGCAGTGTTGCGTGTCTCTCTTGGATGGAGAGTGATGCAAACTTTATTTAATTTTATTTCACCCTGTTTAATTATCAAAATGGAGATGAATTGTGTTCTTTTGTGATGACCGTTGAGTGTTTTGAGTGTTGAGGAAAGTGAATGGATGATTAATTGGTTGCTTTTGGTGTTCAGATCGAGTATATATTGATGATGTGGAGCTTATGCTCGACGAATTCATGGATACTCTCAATACTGTGATCGAAGATGGAAGCATTGAGGAGGTATGGCCTCTTGATTTATTCAACTCCAAATTTTCAGCATCTTTTCATTTTATATGCTTTTGCTTACTACAAAGCTACCTTAATATGCAGAAACCTTGAATTCGTTCAATTAACCACGTCTAAATTTTTTATGGGTCTCATTGTCTGAATGTCTCGACTGACTAGATTCAACAATTTCCACGTAAATACGACTTTTTTGATAACGAGTCAACACCTGGACAGGGCTAGCTAGTTTGATCTGGACCTATGTGATTCTCTTTGGTTTGCCGTAGACTTTGTTTTAGTTTATTTCGAGATCCTGTTTTGTAGACATATAATGTTTCTATATTCCCCGTATACATACACCTTATACTGCAAAGTAGATGAACCGTTTCTTCTCATGAACGAGTATTACTAATACTACTTGGAGTGATATCATTAAAATAATTGTAAGTACAGATTATAATCGAATCTTATAGAAACTGAGGGCTATAGACATTAAAAGAATATGGTTCGCAGAGTAGTTGAAGAGCCCCCGTTGCACTTACACTGTCTCTTGGTTTAAAGATGAAAAGCTAATCTGAACTTACTAATCACAATGACCTTCTACTATTTTATTGTAATACTTATTTGTTTTCATATTTTTTCTTTAATTCAGGTAGCAGAAAAACTGATGGTAATGCATGAAGAATGTTCAGAAGGTAATTTTGACTCAATAAAGAAGTTGCGGGAAACGAGTATTCCTAATGTTTCTTATGTCAGACAGGTAACATCAATCTTTAGTAAACCTTTTTTTCTAGTTGAAGTATTTGAGTCTTGTGTGCTTTTAGCCAGTTCTGCATTATTCATTTTCTCCAGCGCCGGTTGATCAGTTTTACTTAAGATATACTATAAGTTTTATTTATTAGGTAACAATTAACAAATTGCAATTAGACAGGCTTGCAAAACCCAACTGTCCCAAACAATCAAAACCACCAATTTGTTCGATTGTCATTACCATGAACAACTATAATAAGGATTCTATATATTTTTCTTGTATTAACTGTTACTGAGTACTTTTCTCCGTTTTCGTTCCTATTATTGTGAGCAGGGAAGCAATGACAGTGAAGACAGTGAAGACAATAATGAAGATGATACATTAAGTAAAGATAACTCGTCGGAAATGGAAATTGATGCTCCAAAAAGTCAATCAAGTCCCAGTCAAAAGGACTCGTTGCCCGATCAGACGAGCCAGAGAGAAACACCTCCTCAAGTTGTAGATGGATGGACTGTAGTTCCGTCCAGGCGTAGTAAAGGTAAAAAGAAATGAAGTGTTTTTAATTGTATAAGAGAGAACAAAAATTGGAAGTGGTTGCAATTTTGTCTTTGTTTTGCTGTATGTAGAGAAGTCTTCTTCACTATCATTATAATTAAACCCAGGAATTTTCATTTTTAGCTTCTGCTTGTGGTTTTATTAGTTCTTCGACATATTACAGACTCCCTGTAATAATATCTTGAATTTCAGGATTCTTGTTTCTACTCATTCTGTCTGTCTTTTGCTATGATTTTTTATTGTTTTTGCTCAAAATATCTTCAAATGCTGTCCTTGTTTTAATATATGTTTATTGCAATTTCATATTATATGTTGAGCAAAACAAATAGTTATTATAGTTACAGAAATAATACTTGAATTGCGCCTTGATCTCAGACAAATTTGAAAATTTGTTAACGAGTATTAAGGGTGGAAATTGGAACGAAATTTTCAATTTCTGCCGATTCTGATAAAAAAAATCTGATTTTGGAACAATAATTTTCAGTCTGAATTATGAAATTCCGACTTCCGATTTTCGATATGATTTAAGTTTCGAAAATAATTCCGAAATTTCCCAACTTTTTTTCCGAATATAGCACTATAAATACCAATATCATTATATATTTTATATATTTCCGAACTCCGCCGATTCTGATCCTATTTTTGCGATTTCGGAATAAGTTTTTTCATTCCAATTTCCGAATTTTTTCGATTTTTTGGAACAGAATTGGAACTAGTTTTTCACTTCTGGTAAATATCATTTTTTTGCGAAAGTCTAACTCCGATTCGATCCATTCGATTTACACCTTCTAATCGGTATTCACAGCTAAACCCAGACCAATTTATAATGTTTAGAATAAGCTTTATTTAAAGTATTTAAAGTATTTATAGTTTGATCCATTAGTGGCTAAGCCAATTGAGCCCAAGTATGCGGCCCAATTCCCAAGGATTGTTTTTTAAATCATTTTCATCTCGTGCTTTATTTAATAATATTAATATAATCTAATATAATATTATAATGTGACATGCGTTTGAATGGAAGGTTTGGTTGGATTTCCATCACCTTAATAAAGATCCGATTATTTAAAAGTTTATCCAAGTAAATGCCAGCTCACACACATTTGGAAAAACAAAAAATAAGAAGAGACGTGGAATTACCACGTGGCCGTCTCTTATTGGACCGTAACGGGAAATAGAGAAAATCATCGTAGCGCAGAAAAAGACACACCTCCTAAACCCACACGTGTTGTAAAAGCAGGAAAATTAGTTGAAATACCACGCACTGAAAGCGACCGTTGTTTTGATTATTTCACAAAAACCTCGTATTCATTTTTCTCACTCTCACACACTGACACACAGATACACACACTGACACACAGATACACACACTGACACACTGTAATAAACACGTTTCTTTTTCGCCTCTGAAAATTCCTTCTAGGTTTCTCCGATGGCTCCAAGGGGTAGAAAGAAACTGATCAAATCGTGAGTGTTTTATTATTTTTTTTATTTAAATAAAATAAAATCAATTGAACTCGGATTCGATCGGTGGCTGCATGCTTTATTTATTTTTCCCTTTTTATGGTTAATTTTCCATTTGTAACTGATTACTGAAATGAAGGTTTGCAGGGTTAACAAATTCGCGTATGATTGATTGTATCTGTGTAAGAACGAAATTAAATGAATGTGTGATTTTTACTACTAATTCTGGCGTTTATTTAATTATGCAAGCTAATTAAAATTTATTTCTTTACCAATTTGATTTCTGTGATTTCATGTTTCCACCAGCATTCAACTCTATTCAGATTTTTTGTTTTCGATTTATTAAAAAAAAATCATAGCTGAGTGATTTTGATCAGATTGATTTGAAGAACCAGATTGAATAAAGAATTAAAATGAAGCATAAGGTGGTGCATGAAGAGAAATGAGGAGAATGATTGAAAGAAAGAAAAATGATTTTTTTAATAAATTCAAAAAACCGTTATCGCGCGGGTTTTTAATCTCAACCGACGGATCGTTTTGGTCGATGCTAATTAGATTCTAACGGTTTGTGTCGTTCATTTATTAAGCTGACAACTTTTTTTGTCGGATCCGAATGTAACACCCTTTTACGGTTCAAAACGGCGTCGTCTATACTTATTCGAACGGTGTCGTTTTTTGCGAAGAATCTATATGATCCCATTTGTCAAATATTAAACTTGATGTGTTTTGTTTCTCTTTTGGATCATTTTAACCATTGATTTAATTGAAATTGTTTCATAAATCGACGTCGTTTCGTCGTAAATTTGCTATCCTTATTTGTCATCCATATCTAACCGATTATATATTGATTATCTATGAAACTAATTAATCACATGTTTTATTCATCTATTGGATCATGTAAATGATTAACTAATTATAACATTTCATGATTGAAAACAATGTCATGCATCCTTCTTATTTGATCGTCGTCGTTTCATCATAATTTTTTCATCTTTTTTGTGAAACCGTGTCGCTTTCCTTGCGCATTTTATGCGCTATAATAGAGGGATTTTTTCAGTGTGTGTATCTGTGTGTCAGTGTGTGTGTGAGAGTGAGGAAAATGAATACGAGGTTTTTGTGAAATAAGCGAAACAACGGTCGCTTTAAGTGCGTGGTATTTCAACCGAATTTCCTGCTTTTACAACACGTGTGGGTTTAGGAGGTGTGTCTTTTTCTGCGCTACGATGATTTTAATGTACGTACTTTTGTCGATTAAAAAGTGATTTATTGTGTCGGTTAAAGATAGATGCCATTAGTCGATCGAGTTTGCAATTTTCTCCCGTGTTTTCGATATTTGGATTTCCATACTTATGTTCATTATATTCATCCTTATTTCATTTTTTTCTCGTTCTTGATCGCAGGTCGACTACAACATCAACAAGCGCGACTCAACGAGCTCCAAGCAGGGCCCATGAGCAAGAACCTCGTCTACCGAGCGAGGTTCTAGAAGAAATCTTCAACCGTCTGTCGTTGAAGGACAACATCCGAGCTTCCGTTGTCTGCAAGAGCTGGCAATCTCCAGCAATCTCCGTTCGAAAGGCAAACACTCCACCATGGCTAATGTCGTACCTGAAATCCGGAGACTTGTTCGAGTTCGGAGAAAAAGACACACCTCTCTTATTTCTCACTCTCACACACACTAACACACAGATACACACACTGACACACTGTAATAAACACGTTTTTTTTCGCCTCTGAAAATTCCTTCTAGGTTTCTCCGAATTAACAATGGCTCCAAGGGGAAGAAAGAAACTGATCAAATCGTGAGTGTTTTATTATTATTTTTATTTAAAAATAAAATCAATTGAACTTGGATTCATGCTTCATTTATTTTTCCATTTTTATGGTTAATTTTACATTTGTAACTGAATTGAAGGTTTGCAGGGTTAACAAATTCGTGTATGATTGATTATATCTGTGTATAATTTTCCATTTGATGGTTAATTTTCCATTTGTTACGAGGAATTATCACGTGGGCATCATACATCGTGGTTTGTTTGATGCTACACTCGGTGAAATACACAGAATGATTATTAACCGTTGATCTGCACACAACCAGGTGTAGCATCTCAAAGACCATAAATCGTTCATTCTTTTTGTGAAATCGTAGCTCTTTCCTTGCGCATTTTCGGCGCTAAAATAGAGGGAGGTTTTCGTAATTATGTCTCTTAAATAGTGATTTGCTTATTTCGTTTGTCGGTTAAAGAAGGATGACATTGATTGAGTTTGCAATTTTCATCGATGTTGCACAATTTGTGATACATTCTATTCTTAATTTCTTCTTTATTACATTTTTTTCTTGCTCGAGAAAAATCTTAAATGATCTCATTGAGCTTGTAATTTTTTTATTCATTCCAATTTATAATCTGATCTTAATTTACTCTATCCATTTATTATCTATTTAACTTTAGCATTCTAAATATAAACCCTACAATTTCACTCTTATATTCTTAACATTGTGTGTCGTTGAAATTCAAAATTTAAATTAGGTTTTTTACTTCAAGAGTTAAATTAGGAAAATTCATAATTCAAAATTTGCCCAAAATTTATCTTGAAATTAAAAACATAGAGGCTTCTACTTAGAGTAAAAGAGTTTTCGGGTGGATTCCATTTTACGAGAAAAGTTCGAAGAAGCTCTGGTACCGAACAGAGGGTTTAAGCTCGTGTGCATGTATATAAAGTGAAGCAATTATTCCAGTCTAGGCACACGGTTAAGACAAATTCAGTGGCTAAATAGCAATAATATTTCTTTTTCGTACAGAAAATTGTAAATACAAACAAATAAGAGGTTAGAATGGCAATTGCCAATATGTCCAACTCCACGTCATACTTTTCTTTAGCAAAGCTCTGTTTAAACTTTAAATCTAATAAAAAGGCTTTCTACTGAATTACACAGCCCATCCCTTAATTCATTTTCTCCATTAATCATATTTACCTCAATAAACCATATATATTATCATTATATAAATAAAATTGAGGCAAACTTTACTCGAAATTATTAATAAGGATTATAACGGCTTCGTCCACGTCCACTGTCACTACCACGTCTTCCCCCACTCGAACTTCCTCCACCACCACCGCCGCTGCTGCGCCCCCCTCTATGTTGAGGTGGCGGTGGGGTCCGCTGCTGCATTCCTGGCTGTTGCCTATACACCACAACAAAACAATATAACACTTATTTCTAAACCCTTTTTTTCCCTTACGAATATAGAATATTTCTCACTATCTTCAAAAAGTATATCGATGTACAATTATCTTCTCACAAAACGAAAAAAAAGCACTTACAGGACATATCCAATCCTTCCATCGGGCAAAAGCATGGGCATCATAGCCATACCTGGAGGAGCTCCCCTTCCATACATTAGGGGCTGCAATACAGAAGATTTTTTTATCCATATCATATAAACTATTGTTTAGCACTTCACAGCAATTAACGAAATTCAAAATCAAATTGACGCCTTTTTTTTCCTGGAATATGCATCGGTCATTTTCTACCTATAAACTGCATGTGCAAACATTCCATTAATAACTTTTTTTTTCCTATGAACGACCATTATAGAAGTTACCTACAAGATAGTGACATTTGATAGCCCTTTTATTGTTTACAAGATTTCAATACATGGAACTTTCGCTCGCGAGTCTATGACATATAATAACCTTGTGAAGATACAACCCACGAGACGAAAATAGGGAAAGAAAAAAAAAAGGATTTTAAGACTTCTTACTTGGGCAAAGCCTGCACCGGAATATCCTGCACCTAGACCACCATAAGGAGGTCCAACCATGCCGTATCCCATGCGAGGTGGATAGTTTGGAAATATAGCTGTCTTCTGTGAGTTTGACCCCCCTGTAGTTTTCTGATCCGCCTGTGGCTTTGCCAGTGAGCACTCTACAACTTGGCCTGTTGCAAAAAAAAATCCAGAATAAGATTGAAGTGGACTCATCTCTATCGGAATAGTAATCGAAGAATAAAATATTAGGAACTTGGGAGTTACCATCAATCTCATATTTCTCTGTGTTCTTTAGAGCTTTCATGGCACTTGATCTTTCTGTAAAGTGAACAAAACCGTATCTGCTCTTCTCTTGCCCTGGTTTTGCTGGAGGAAGAACAACTTTCGCAATCTTCCCATGGTGTTCAAACAAGTCCTTAAGCTGATCCTGAGTTATATCTTTTGGCAAGTTCTTTACATAGACCGCTTTGACCTGTACAAAGAGAAGTCAATCAGTATCATGTAAGAAACATATAATTGGCCACAAGTTGAAGTTACTAATGCATCAGTTATTTAAAAAACAAAAAAAAGAACACTTAAGCTTGTCCACGACATTAGTAAAATCACTCATGTTTTACTCAAAACCCTATAACCAAAATGCACATCCATAAAAGATTCTACACAACTGCGTAATTGCTATAGGCATAATGAATTGCTCACTACAAATTAAGAAATAGGCCTTCTATTCCCCAATAACTTTTTTCAAAACTCAAAAGTAAAGGGATCATCCACTATATCAACTAGCCCCTATGTGGAAAGGAAAGCCAGACAGGATTAATGCAACGATTCAATTGCCAATTAAACTGAGTAACTAGAAATTTAATGACATTTAAGAACGATAAATTAGCAACAAGTTTATTTAGTGCATTCCTAGTTCCCCAGAGCAAACAACTAAAGGTTTTCTCAGCTGACCTTGAATATTCATTTGAGAAGTTTAATGACAACAGAAGAAACAGGAACTGGCATATACAATTAATAACAATGCCAGAACTAGATCAGGATGAGACGATTTGCCAGAGCTAAAGCAAAAGGGAAAGGTGTCAGAATACAATTCGAGCAAGCAATCCCATTCACCAAACATTTTGATCAGGTAACAACAATGTCAATTAATTATATAAAAGAGGTGAACTCTAATTATGATGACGAAATATCCAAGAAGAAAGACCTGAGAAGATGAAGATTCTGCACTTTTTGGATCAGCCCAGCTAACAGTTGGAGCATTATCGTCAAGCTTGAATTTGGGATTAGACATTGCTTGTCTTGAATACTCAGCACAAGCATGGTTGTAATACTCGATGAAAGCAAATCCACGATTCTTACTGGAGTTTTGCGGGTCCTAGTAAAATAAGATTCACATATTAGTATATTACCAAAACCTTTTGGCAAACAACAAAAAACGACCAGGATATAACAGAAGACTGTAAAGTAAATAAGACAATGAACAATTATGCCCAAGCAGAGAGGAACCCAACCTTTAAAAGTTCCACAGTAACAACCCCAGGCCCTACTTTATTCACAACCTTCTTCATTTCCTTCTCTCCCCAGTTTCTGGGTACATTACCTATAAACAGCTTATGTTTCGCTTGAGACGTAGAACACTTCACCTTTCTCCCCTGAGACAGTTTCACAAAATACAAATAAATAAATAAATAATCGCCATTGGATCCCCAACATGCCACCCACACATCAAAGTGGAACTTTGCAAGTCACACAGTATAAATAAATTTGTTAAAGAATCAACATGTTATTATTATCTTCATATGCGCCTGCATGCACATATAAGCATACACTCTGGTTACCTTCAATTCAGTGTTATTAAGTTCCTTCATAGCCTTAGAAGCCAATTCCTTGCTCCGGAAGGTTACAAAAGCATATCCCTTGTTTTCACTCGAGTCCTTTCCCTTCATCACTCTGACCTGTAAATTACATGCAGATCCATGTAATTTCTAAATTCAAACTAAATCTAATATATAGGAATACAACGTATATTACCTCAGTAACTTCCCCAATTGATTCACAGAAGCGCTTCAGGTCATCTTCAGAAGTATCGTGTGAAATTCCACCAAGATACACCTCTGAACCATGTGGAGGAAGTGCAAGAAGCTCGGAATGTTTTTTATCCAAATCCTCTCTGCCTTCTTCATTTTCCATGTCATCATCACGACTGGGATTCCTTCTAGCATCGTGTCTGTGAGAATCATTTTCTTCCTCGTCTTCCTCTTCTTCCACCTCCTCTTCAACTTCTTCCTCTTCTTCCTCTTCTTCCTCCTCTACTTCTTCCTCTACTTCTTCGTACTCAACCTCTTCTTCCAAGGTCTCTTCCATGTCGTCGTCAGCACCAAGTTCAACCTGTTCTTCAGGCTCAACAGGGTTTTCAGGTTCAGAAGATTTACTAGTTGCAGCACTGGCTCTTGTCCTTGGCATCTTATACCTCCAACAAGGCAAGCTCCTATTGCAGCTCTGAGAGAAGCACAGAGGCCGGATGCATTTGCAAAAGAAAGAAGAAAAACGTGGATCGGCAACGACAAAATGAAAGGCCATAAGGAGCGCCAGAGTAAGAATTTTGATTGAATTGGCTCCATGAGGTATGGCTCCAAGGAGTTCCAAAGTGAGTAATATTAAAACAAGGGGTGAAGAAATGTAGTACAAACAGAAACAGGCAAGAGAGAATGCTGATTTGTAGGAGCAAGATGCTCAGCAGGCGCAAAATCAATGAAGCATTGAATTTCTTGAAATATAGACAATGATCGATGCCAGGAGAAAAGAAAAAGGGCAAACATTCAGTCTATTCTTTAGGGCCAATGCACTCATAATCAAAAAATGGAGGGAAGGCAAATAATAAGAAATGAGAAACAGAACAAGGGTATGAAATTCACGATAGATGTCACTAAAAGAGTATCCCCAATAAATCAAAAGCTATAGATTCCAAAATTAGATTGACCAATTCCTTAAAAGATTAATTCCACTTCCTGAATATATGTCCAGTCTGTAACTTCCTGCAGCCATTTAATGCACAGGAACTGTGAATGAACTGATTAGTGAGCAACCTCAAATGCATTTAACAAAGCCATTGCTCATATCAGAACTCACAACCTTTTGACATTTCTATAAAAGTTGAATCGCAAAACGGCAAAACGGCAATAGAATTTCACTTTTCCTCTATTTTAATTGGATAAATGTAATACAAAGAATAGTAATCCACATTTTTATATGTTAAATTTCGATGCTAGATATTTTATTTTTCTTCTGTTGATCAGAGAGTGATTCTATTGTGACACAGACAAGTCAAAGTTTTCTGTGTTGCTCTAATTTTGCAATAAATTCTCCTTCAAACTTTGAAACCTCACATATTGGTCATTTGAGTTGGATAATTCAGTTGTAAACCAAGGGATTCACAATTTCACATCAAAAATCAAAGAAAATATTGCCGCAGGCGCTCGTGCACCACGACATAACGCCGCGCACCAATTCCAGTAGTTGAGCTCACATTGTTACAATTTATGTTTTTAGTAGAAGAACAAACACCAGATATCAAATCACAAACGTACATTCTTCGACTGACAACACCAAAACACAGAAATAAGCTCTGTTTACAATTTTACTTCCCATAGACAAAAAATTCACGACGTCAATTAAATGTGCGAGAGATGAGAGCTTAACTAAAGCCTAGCTTTGCAACAGAACCCATGAATATTTAAACAAAATGCGTCAACGAAACTGACAGATAGGTAAAATTAACCATACTTCCATCGAACAAAATAGGCCTCTATTGAGGGGGAGGAGGAAGAGAGAGAAAGCGAAAGTAGAAGCAAAATATGAGCGTCAACGTGAAGAAAAAATACATACCGGAATGATATCTTTGTCTGCCTCCTTCAAACAACAGCTATACGAACCTCGCTTGCTTCGTTCTGCGGTATCTAGAAAACCCTAGCTGAATGGCTCAATTGAGGGTTTCGAAAAAAATTGGGGATATTTTTTCTCGTATATGGTGAGATATGAGCTCCGAGGGTATTCTCGACAATTCGGTGATCGCTGATCTGGACTTCTTACAGGCGCGTGTATTTATATCGAGTTTGCCGGTTTTTCTTTTCTTTTTCCTTTCCTGGTTTTTCTTTTTGAAAACTAGAAAAGAGTTTGACCGGATAATTGATGGCTGATGCTAAATTTATATTTTGTTAAAGTTATTTGATGTATTTTACAATGTATATCGATTATCTTATATATTGTTTCATAACGATGTTATAATTTATAGAGCCTTGTATTTATGTTTTAATATGTAAACAAACATATTTAATATTTTCAGATAAGTTATATAGACAATTATAAACTAAAACATGTACAAAAATATTTAATTGATAAGGTTGAGTTACTCGTTTGTGCTTTATAATACATAAGCCATAAAGCTCTCTACATGATTAATTTGCACCCCGATTGCGAAGGACTAAACAGTAATTTAATCAACACTGTCGTAATACATCCACAGAAAAAAACCATCAGATCAGAAGACAATGATATGAATATGAGGTTTTGCCACTTCTAAACCTTGAGATATACTAATAAACTCAAATGCATAGATGTTCAAAGAAAGAGGTGTTTATAATCCCTATTGGCAAGTTGACAAACAGCGTTGTAGCACGACATATCTGCAGAAAACAAATGAAAATTGTTAAGGATGCTGCAATTAGCTAAAACCCGTTTCCAAGGTGAAACATTAACAAGAGAAAAAAAGATTTATGTCTCCCCACACGAAATTATCGAGAAAAAGAGAGAGTACTTACTCAAGGTCTACTAAGCTATACCAATATGCACAGAAATCTCGACCCTAGTTGATTATATCATAATCTTGACGAATTATGATCACGACCATCATTATTTAACAATTGTTATGTATTTATATGGTCGCTGATACAGAAATCGCATTTCACTTATTAACTAAGACTACATGTGTGAACACGAACAACTGTAGGACATCAAAGATTACAGACATATCAACGAGTGTTTTGTTTCGATTTAACAATTTACCCATGAAATGTTAAATCCACCGTTTCCTGGCCCTTTGTGCAATACTGCACACATATCAGAAACTATGGAGTAACGGACAACTCTGTTTTAGTCTACATAATCATTCGACAAACACCACCAATAAAAGAAAATTGAACTCTCTGCTGCATATGTACATGTCAAAACTTACTCCGGTAACGAGCAAGCCAGAACTAAACTCAGTTTATCCTAGTTAAAATTCGATATAAGGGGTCTTTACTCTCGATTTTAGTCTATGTTGTAATCAAGGTTTGTAGATTGCAAGAATCGTTATAAATAGGATCGGCCATCCTTTAGGAATCGATTGTAGTTCACAGAAAAGCAGCAAATCATTGCCTGTAATGTAAACCGTATCTTCTCAAATTTTCACAACGAAACTTAACTACTGATTAGCAAACAACTAACATATTGAACAACAAAACTTCAGCTACAACAGAGGCATTCGATATTTAGTATACACCTCTCGTAAATGGGTAGCAATGAACTTTGAATCTAGAATTAAACAAACAATTGAAATCTCTTAAAATTGAATAACAGCAAATCATAATATATATAAATTTGCCCATATATTTTCAAGCAGAAAATCTTAATGACGATTAAAAAAAAATAAAAAAAAAAATCACATACCAAAAACATCACCAAAGTTGGTGAAGATTTCAGCGCGGATAGATTGATTACCCTCGGCAATGCCGATAACCTCCACAAAAGTTGAAAGAGGTGCAGAGGGGTAGCCCTTGATAACCAACTGCTGATCGTCCGTCGATTTTCCGATCACCGAGCCACCACCGTCTGATTTCAGCACCTGAATCACTGCACGAACTCTCCTGCCGACGTGTAGTCTCAACAGCTCGGAATTGACGAAAACTGCCGGATTCGACGTATCCATTTTCTCGAAGGATCTAAAAATGGGGGTCGAGAGTGAAGCGATAAATGGTATGAATAATTGGAATGGGGGATTAGGGTTTAGAGGTGTCTCACCTTTATATCTGATCCTATTCCTACGGGCAGAGCACTGGTCGCCGGTGAAATGAGAATTCCTAGGTGACTATGCGCGTGATAGAAAACCCCTTGATGTTGAATCTGCTGTTGTTTTGAAAATTAGGGCCGGTGGAGGGGTGGGGAAAATGGCGGCAAGTGTTCCCGCTTTGGGAAATGTAATTGACACAAATAATTTCAATTTTTAGAACTATACATATAATTCACTACTACAACTAATTGGTTATTTGTTACTACTTAACAAGGATTTTTAGAGCAAGTGTATCTGATTCCTTAGTATTAACTTTTTTTAAGAAAATTGTTTAATATTTACTAGGATTGATTAGATTGATTATGAATTATAGATTGATTATGAATTATAAGAAATCAAGATACATATAATTTACTACATATATTGTCAAACCCAATTATCTCCAGCAATAGCTACACACAGCATTTTCTTTAATCGAAAGGAATGAACGAAAAATATGCGGAAAACCCTGATATAAAATTGCTGAAGCTACTGAGGAGTGCATCTCTCCGAGTGGTATCGAACTGTGTGGATGAATATTTAGATATTCAAAACTCAAAGTTGCTTAATTCTTGCCCCCAAAACCTCGAGGACCAGGCTTTGCCGACGAGCCTGCGAATTGCCTCCTCGAGTCCGATTTTTTCTTTCTCCTGGCTGTACCAGGGGGAGCCTGTACACATTGAAAGAAGAAAAAAAATCATTTATTGCAAAGTTATAGGTCGACTTCAACAATCAGCAATCGAATTTCAGACACTTTACTATGTATGATGGGATTGGGAGTCAATAGGATTTTAATCGGGATTTTTTACTACTATATACTATATACCATGGTTGTCGTAGCTCGATAAATTTACCTTTTGTTCTTCCTTTAAGGCATCCTCCAGATTGCTCAATGAAGGTAGTGATCCACCTTCCATTACTCCCATCAAGTTCTTCATTCGTACGCGCATTTGGAAAAGCTGAGCTACGAGTTGACTCACCTGAAAATTGATCATGTTACACCATTGATTTCCCGTTAACACTCTATATTCACCGAGAAAACACGAGAAAGTCAATCCATATTTACCTGTTGCTCTGTTTTTCCGGAATCTTGAGCAACTCTTTTCCTTCTGACTTGTGATTCCGCCAACAGTTCTGGTTTTTCCCTTTCCTCTGCACAAGAAACACAAAAAGTTCAATGTTAACAACTACTAGATACAAGGTACAGGTATCTTGCAAAAATTGATTGTTGCTGGGAAAAAAAATAAACAAAGAAAAGAAATGACCTGGGGTCATTACTTCGATCATAGATTCCATTAGTTTTGTGTTCTTTTCTGCCTCTCGAATTTGTGCAGGAGTAACCTGTTTCAATGTACCATCAATTTGGAGATTCAGTTATGATTCGGAAATGCCCCTTAAGACACTTGCATAACCTTTCAATGTCGTTAACATTAACATTAGTTGTAGTTTGATACAACCTAGTGAAGACCGGATTTTATACCTTCCCCATGCCTGGAATCATTCCAATAACACGAGACATTGAGCCCATCCGTGAAACTGCTCGAGTTTGCTTCAAGAAGTCATTGAAATCGAATTTTGCACTCATGATCTTCTTCTGCAAATCTTCAGCATCTTCTTGTTGCATCTACTCAATTTATGAAAACCCACATCAACTACACACACACACACACACACACACACACACACACACACACACACACACACACATATATATATATATATTCAACTGATTTAAAATTCGATACTCACAACTTCTTGGGCTTTCTCCACAAATGATAAAACATCACCCATTCCAAGGACGCGTCCAGCCATACGATCTGGATAGAAAGGTTCAAGGTCTTCCATACGCTCTCCTCTTCCTACAAGCTTAATTGGCTTCCCTGACACCTGTCCCATGCCCAATTGTTAGTTAAATCTTTTAAAACTGATCAAATTTCATCGACTTATTCCCACTTACTCCTAAAGCTTATTCTTAAAACTGAATTAGCAGAATGCATCTCTAGATGACACTTGATACAAGTCATGTTAACTCTACGAAATCTTATTCATTAAACCGTAAACAATATGTTTCATTTCTTCTAAATTCAATAGAAGAAATATGCCTGACCTCTTTTACACTCAAGGCTGCACCACCTCTAGAATCCCCGTCTAGCTTGGTTAAGATGGCACCAGTGATTCCAATTTCAACATTGAATGTTGTTACCAATGCTAAATACCATCAAACAGAATAATAAGTGAAAAATATAAAAACCTCCAAAAATACTATTAAAGACTATGTCGAGAATATATACCAGCAGCTTCTTGGCCAGTCATTGCATCTACAACAAGCAAAACCTCTGTGGGATTTAATACTCTTTTGACGTCTTTCAGTTCATCCATCAAGGTTTTATCTATCTGATAAGAAATAAAAAAAAAATGACTTAAAGCTCAGTTTGTAATAAGACACTTGTGACCATATTTTAAGGTTCCTGTTCCAATTCTAACCTGAAGTCTTCCAGCAGTATCCATTATGACCACATCTACGTTCTTTTTCTTGGCCTCTTGCAAACCTTGCTTTGCTATTTCTGCAGGTTTAATTGCATTTCCAGCTGCATACACTGGCACCCCAACCTGCTTAAGGCTTATAAGTAAGTAAGTGAAATCAAGAACATGATTCAGAGTCTCACTTTAGAGATACATAAAACCTTCCACATTTTGAGTCGAGCCGAATTTACCCAATTCTCATTTCAGGGATCTACTATTCCCAGTGAAAAAGTGAAATGGCATAACAGGTTAAAACAAAAAGCCTATCACATTAATCTTAACATTAACATCTTAGTCTGTCGGGCAGAGAAATAAAACCATTGTCAAATAAACTACCTGTTCACCTAAAATGACCAACTGGTCTATCGCAGCAGGTCTGTAAACATCCCCAGCAATTAGCATGCAACTCTTCCCCTGTTATACCATGATAGCTTGAGTAAGGTCGGGTCAAACATAATATTGGACTAAAGAGGTTTGCGTACAAATTTACAGATTCAAGAACAAGCACCTGCTTTTTAAGATATAAAGCTAGCTTCGCGCTGACAGTTGTCTTTCCAACACCTTGCAACCCGGCCAACAAAATGACAGTTGGTTTAGATTTTGCAAAAACCAGCTCAGATACTTCTCCCCCCATTAGTTGTACTAGCTCATCACGCACGATCTGTGTAGGTTAAAAGTACGGTAACTAAAAGCCATCGTAAGCTAATACTAGCATTGATATACTGACCATACCTTAAGTTCATCAGATTTCAGATACTTAATTTTTTTATTTTTTTTTTTCATTATGAGCTAATAAGTTCGGTACAGGGCGAGGAAATTACTAATTATACCTTAACTAATTGCTGATCAGGTTTCACTCCTCGGATCAATCCAGTGCCAACTGCTTGATCACTTACAGACTGAACAAATCTTCTAACTACGGGAAGGCTAACCTGCAGATAGATACAGAAACCTACGTGAGACGAAGGTTCTAGATATCGTAACACAGCTGTTGGAATATGGTGACGCTTACATCTGCTTCTAAAAGAGCTCTCCTGATATCCTTCATAGGTTCCAGAATGTTTTCCTTGGTCAAAACCTCTGAGTTGGTTATCAATCACAAAAATAGTTTGTCAACTATGATAAATTCCCTCACAACCACATTTAATTTCTATTTCAAATCAAATGAACATCTTGTAATATGATGGAATTTTATGAAGAGCTCACAATAATATAAGAATAAATTAATCAAAATACCTTCTCCCTTGAGCTTGTTCCAAGCGGTTTCGAGACCGCTGGTCAGCTGCCCAAACATCTCCGCTCTCACAACGCCTCGCATTTCCCTTATGTGAACAACGCTAGTCTTTGAATTTACCACTCCCCATACCTCTCTCTGCAATCGGATCAAAAATTTAATTAGAGAAACAATTAACCTAATAATTACGAGAAGCAAAAAATCGATGGGGGCGGCGGGGGGAGGGACTCACGGTGAACGAGTTTCCGGCGGAGAAGGAGAGCGATTGAGCGGAGCAGGTCCGGGAAGAGGAGCTCTTGGGGACTCTGGGGCTGGGGAGGGGCAGTTTGGGAATTTGGAGTGTTGAAGAAGGTGAGAAATGGCGGGAGACAACTGTCGAAAATTGTGCAGAGGCCTCCATGAGAGCTCAGCTGGAGATGGTGCAATTGTATTTTCGCCCGGATTCTTTTATCCGCTTTATTATCTGTTGATATTTCTATCTTATAAATGGCCGTTGCCGTTCCTGTGCATCGCGGCCTACGGTATTGTCCTACTCCCGTGTTCAAAAATAGATGGGTAATGATATACGCAGGCCAAATTAAACATTCAGCCACTTTTTTACCATGATTTTTTACCTTTTTACCATAACTATTTACCTTTTGTACTATTCCTACCCAATAAAAATAAAAAAATTAAATTGTTGTGCTCGTGCAAAAACATGCGAGCATTTCAACAGTGCTCATCTGATTTCACACGAGCACTGTTGAAATGCTCGCATGTTTTTGCACGAGCATCTTATAAATCAAAAAAAAAAAAAAAATAATAAATAAATAAATTAATCTGCTCGTGTAAAAACACACAAGCGGTTGAAAAGCGTTCGTGTGAAATCACACGAGCACTTTGCAACCGCTCGTGTGTTTTTACACGAGCAATTAAAAAAATAATAATAATAAAAATGCCTGCTCGTGTGGATTTACACGAGCACAGTGGATGCGCTCGTGTAAATTCACACGAGCAGGCCAACGTGTGATTTTTTTCGTTTTTTTTTTCCGGATTCGTAATCTACATAACAAGAGGATCGTAAAAACGTAAAAATTACCTCCGATCTGTTGACGATTTGCACGGGCTTTGCGAAAGAAAATCGAAAGGTTAAGAGAGTTTTGAGTTTTTTTACTTTGTTTTTTGAAGAATGGTAAAAAATGTGCCTGAATGTTTAATTTTGGCCTGCACAAATCATTTCAGAAAATAGAATTTGTGCTTTTCTTTTTTTCTTTTTTCTTAATTTAAATAATTTACAAACCGAATATTCTCTTTAATTACCGTTGCGTTTGAACCAAAGTCATAATATCCAACTGATTTTTGAAATATTAGATCAAACCACCCTTTTCGACCAAAGCTAAGCAAGATTAAATATTAATCACACGCTGATTACAATCGTTTATAAATTCCCAAGCAAGAACAGTAAAAAAATTCACTGAATTCCCCCATCACAAAACAACTGAAGTAAGCCTTCAGCACCACATTACCCCGACAACCGGGGCAATAACTCGAAATCGAAGAATCTAATTAAAACACAACACGTTGCAACAAACGGCGAAATAGGTTAATCACCTAACGAAGAGAAAAAGGAAAAAAAAAAAAACTCGTGTTCATCCATATATATGATTCCATGGATCGATCTTCACCTCCAAACCTCCACCCTTTCCACGCGTGAATTCACACGGCTAATAATGCTCGGTTCCTTCATCTTTTCTCCACTTTTTGTCGTACCGTGTAGAATATTTTCGATTGAGCTTAAAAAACCTCGATCGCCATCATTGTTAATGCCCATTCTTGATTCTTCACCTCGCGGAGAATCATTACTCGAGCTGCTATTCTCACCCGACTGTGACTCACCACTCACTTCATTAGTCTTCAAAATACTAAAACGACCGTCTTCATTCGGAGGCTCCGATTCCATCTTCGGACCCTCTTCGACCAAACAATCCTGCTCTCTTTCTCTCAAGGTTTTCACTATCAGAGTCTTTAGAAAGTTCATCACTTGTACCGCGTGCATCAGTGCCGTCAGAGGATCCGACATCTGAAAAATCAATCAATAAAATATCTTCGAAACCAAACACAAGATAAATTTTTAAAAATAAATTTAATAAAAAGAATTACCTGAGTCATGTTAGGTGCAAAAACCATAGCGATATTTCGCGGGTTCATTTTATTGAAATTATCCAATTGGGCAACATCGGTCATGAGATTGACCGCCCAATTCAAGAGTGCAGATTCTGTGGGCGGGAGTTGACTCACGAGACCACTGCATTCGTCTTCCGATTGAGACTCCATTATCTGCTCGGGTGGCAGAGTATCCAATATTCCACCACTAGGTAGTTCTCTAAACCAAGCCTACAAATAATTAATCGAATTAATAATTTTAATATTAATAAAAAAGGGCTTATCATGAATAAGTACCTTGATTAGGCCGGCTAAACAATGAACGTCGATGTCGTCTGGAATCACTCCGTTGTTTAGTTGCTCCCGAACGAACTCTTCTTGGCCATTCTCTGGATTAATTCTGAAGATTCCTTCCGACTGCGCAAAATTCAAGGAAGTTACATAATTTATTATTATTATTAATTTTCTTTTATTTTTTGTATGTACATTATATTAAAATTTAAAGATTAAGTTACCTGCAAGCCACCCTGCAAATACAAGCGCCTCTGCATCATGAGTAGTATAGTCGGTACACAATTACCCCTGGAATCGAAAGAAAGCTGCATCGACTCTGTCGAAACTCCGAAAACTCTCGTGCTACATATCAAAAATACATAACACAACAAATTACAAACATAATTTTCAGGACCTTACCTTAAAAATATCAAGAAACCATGTAAGAAATTCCTTAACCCCCTACCTAATCCCGTAAACTACCGAGTAGCTCCGTGATTAGAGTCAATAATAAATAAATAAATAATAGTGAAAATAAACCTGGCACTAGGGGGTATTGTAGGAACATGAGGCTCAAACTCAAGGGGTAGTCCAAGAAAGCCGTTGAATCGGTCGAAGGTGACGTGAGCAACATGCCTTACATTTGTAGGGCAACCAATCTCCATCACCTTGTTGTTATTTTCAACCCCACAATTCTCTGCACTTGTATTATTCGTACAAGGCCCCACCAAAGAATTCCTTAAGACAGTAACCAAAACCGCCAAAACAGATATTCGATCGTCTTCTTCTTCTTCGACTTCTTGGTGTAATATTTCTCTAGTGGTGTAATTTCTCCCGTACAACGATACAGGAGAGGTACTACTACTACTACTACTGATACGACTACTACTGTTGATAACTAGAGGCTCGTGATTAAGATAAGTTTGTTGGTGAAAATCATCATTGTTGTTTGTCGTAGGTGTCGAACAGTTGATGGATCTTGACGATGAAGCCAGTATTATATCTGTCATTCTTTTTTTTCTTTTTTGAAAGAATGGAGCAGTGTGTGTTGTGTGTTTTTTATGATGGTTTAGGTGGATTAGTGGATTCTTGAAGAAGAAGAAGATGAACAATGTAGTAGTTGTTGTTGTGGAGTAGAGTTTGGTACAAGTAAAGGGTTTGTGGAAGTTGAGAAATGTACATCATCTTCCCTATTATATATATTTTGCTTTATCTATACTTTCCTCATTGACTCCTCTAACGTACATTTTTTCACACTCTCACTGCGTGTGTGTGTGTGTGTGTGTGAGAGAGAGAGAGAGAGAGAGAGAGAGAGAGAGAGAGGTGCAAATGGAAGGAGTAATTATGATTAGTAGCATTACAACATTTTAATTTTAATGCACCCCAAAGTTAGGCTATGATATTATGATTACACTTTATGTACAGTAGAGGCATGGGATGTGAAAAATGTATTTAATATAGGTAACTTGATAATAAAGGATTGAGAGGCTTAATTATGACAGCTCTGCTATTGTCTTACTTATTATAGTATTATTAGTTTATTGCATTTATCCCTACTTTCATCATGCCTAACCATAACATATAAAAAATTTTGAAAAATTATATGAATAGAAATATGCCTGCAAATGAGCTGCGCACTAAAGACACCAGTGGCCAACATAATTGCCACTATTTGGTGGCCAGCTGATAAATATTTCTACAATTATTTCTTTCTTATCAGGTAAATAGGAATCCTCATTTAAGGTTGTTTTTGTCCTGTTAAACACACACCTAAACCTTAAACAATCCTAACGACAAAATAATGTGCTAATATGAGGACTAACGAGCAAATAATTGTCCTAGTCCTAGTTTGGTGGTCTATATAAGATTAAATAATTTAATAAAAACTCAATTATTTTTTCGATCCCGGTGACGTCCAACAATAATATTTGCGGATCGATCCGACAAATTATTAACATCAAACAAAGTCTAATTATTTAGTTAATCATGGGTAATCTTCCCAACCAAACGAGACTCGGGTGTGCTCTTTTACCGTTTTCCAATAATAAACATAAAAAAAGGTGTTGCAATTAGAATGAAATGAAGAAACAAAAAGAAAGGACTGTAACGGATGGATGGGAGAGAGGAAAAGGCAAAAGTGAAGGGTTCAGTTTTCTAAGGAATGAGAAAACACTCCCCAGTTCCATTATGTGGCCGTTGTGAGTGTTTTTTAAACTGTTCAAAATTTAAACTCAATTTGGCGGCCAATTCCCATAATAATAAGAAGATCATCTTTTGCTAATCTTATTAACATATATAAATAATAAATATTCTTGTTTATTATAAATTGTTGTTGAATTTAATAAACATTTATTTATTACACTGAAGCCAATTTTTTCAAGTATGTTCGTCATTTTTTTTAAAATTTAGTTTATGTTTACATCTTTGTTAAACGAGGAACTTCGGAGATCCTGAATGCTTTTACAGGTATTCATAAAAAGAATTATGTTAGTAATATATGCTGAATTAAATCCAGGACCGCAGACAGCCGCCTCATACGCTAACATTTCAAATGATTACGTTGGATACGAACGATTCAGACAAGGCTACCAATCAAGAAATGTGACCAACAACCGGTCATAAACAGTGAAAAACTACCACATCAAAGATAATAATCCGAGACTAAAAATTAGATTGAATCAATACATATACAATCATTGAGCTCTAGCGACTGGCTCGAGAGCTTCAACCGTAACTACACTGTTTCCCCTGATGACCTACGATACAAAAAATGGGTGTATTAAAACAATCGTGTATTAATTGAAATTTACGGAAATTTAATATGCATCAAAAAGAAAAAAAAAAGGACTCACCACCATGCCTATATCAGTTTTCTCATTTCCATTGACTTCGACGGTGTTGTCCACCACCAGATTCATAAACTGATCGAATCCACGAAGGGTTCCAACCACCATACGATTGGCATTAAGTTTTACTGAAAATACGTCATCAAACAAGTTTATCAATAATAATAATAACGGTGATGATAATAATTAAAACAATTAAAGCTTCTTTCCAACGCGGGACAGCTTTGCATTTTTGTAAATAAATACAAGAGGGAACAATATGCAGAGGATAATTGTAGTTAAACTGCTCTATTAATATTCGGAAAAACATATTAGCAACCAGTTGCCATTGGAAAAAAATGGCTGCATCTGAAAAAGCCTCCAATAATTGATGCTCTGTGGTAGGTTCCGAAAATTCAACTAACTGCGTTAAGTTATTTAGGAACAAAATGTTCCAACAGCCTTTCGGAAATCGGTTACGGTTATTTACGGAACTAAACCTGATTACATATAGAACAGAGGATAAAAAATGTTTTAGATTTAGGCCTCGTTTGGTTGCCAAGATAAGATTAAATAATCTAATGGAAATCCAAATATTTTATCGTACCTCAGGACGTTCAACAAAAAAGCTCCCTAAAAGGCAAGATAATAAGTGCGAGTCGACCCGGCAAGTTATTGGGGATACCAAAATTCGAACAAAGTCCAATTATTTAGTTAATAATGGTTAATCTCCCCAACCAAACGAGGCCTTACGATACAAGAACTAGAAAGAAATCTACTATCAAAGTAAACTAAAGAACACATCATCACTTCCGCATTTCTATGAAAAGCAGACGAATACAAACTGAACCAAAGTTCGCCTTACAAAACTATACGGAATGTTTATACGGCAGTCGACTATACGGAATTTTTAGTTTTCTCCAGCTCCATATACTTCCATTATCAATCCTATCTCCAACTCCTATGATTATAGGTTTTATTTTCAACTTGTTCAGATACGAATACGGGAAATCGGTAGGTTCGAAAAAATTGCAGGGATAACAAAATCATGCACCAAAATCAACAACTGAAGAGGAAACATGAAATTTTCAATCTCGTAATCAGGAAAAGCAATGCAATACGAAAATCATGTAATCCAAAAAGGCAAATGGATGATAAGGAACTTACTTTGTAGCTTCTTGTCCATGTATCTGTCATTCACAAAAAAATGGGGAAAAAGAACAAAAAAAAACAAAATTAAATAATTACAGTTAATCATAAACAATCTACACTGTAAGTAAAAATTATTTGGAGATAAAACGTACTTCTTGAGATCCGGAGGCTGCCCTGATCTGCTCATAGCAAAATTCTTAAAAAAAAATTCCGACAATGGGGATTCTGTTCTGGGTTTATCGCTCTTCAGAAACCCTAGAAATTATGGTGGAAGAAGAAAATTATGGTGGAAGAAGATTTGAATTTCAATTTTCAGATAAATTAATTAATGGGCTGAATTACTTGGGCCCTTAATTTGTGTGCAGCCTTAAATGACTGCTAAATGGGCTAATCTTAATTTCTGCAATCCATAAAATTGATTTTATTTATTTATTTATTTATTTCAGGTTTGCTTTTGATAAATAATTGTTTTTCTTCATTTGGAGCTTCTTTACCAAATTTCTAGAAGGTGGCTTCCGTAAATCAAGTACAAGTACAATGAGTACGTGCCAACCTTTTCAATCAAGAATTTTGTTACCATAAATCTGTATTTTATTAAATTTATAAACTATTAGAATATGAATAAAATAATTAATTTAATTTGACACTGACTTAGATAGAAAAAAGAATGTTTGGTTGAAACCAACTTGCACGGCTCGTCTTATAGTGAATGGAATTATATAATGTCAACCATTCCATTTCAAAAAATTCCAACCAATAATTGACTAGTGACTAATTGTTACCCCTAAATATGTTGACAATTGTAAAAATCGTAAATGCATATATATATATATATATATAAATCAAAGATTTTGCCGACTTTGCTTACTTATCTTCCAATCGCATATGCCCGGCCCCCTCTATTTTTAGTGTTTTTTTCTCTTCATGGGTCACCACTCACCACTCTTGAGGGAGAAAAAAAAAAAGTTGGTACTTTGACTAAGTTAGGTTTTTCTTAAATAAGTATTTTCGAATTATTTTTATTTTATGTGGCACTGATACGACGAAATGGAGAAACGGACACAGGAAACCTAAATTGGATCTGGGAACATAGGGAAATGTGTAAATATAAAAAATATAGAGGTGCATTCATAATTTCTGAAAAATATTATAAAATTATCATCAATTATATATTTGTATTACAAAATATATACAATTTACAAGTTTCAATCTGAATTATTATTTCACGAATTACATTTGGGGCATATATATTTATTTTAGTATGGAATTTGCATCTGCGGAAAATATTAGAATACCACTGTCCGTGAAAAAGAGACACAAGATTTAAGATTTTTAAGATTTTTATACGCGTATGCAATTTCGAGTTTGTATTTGAAATGAGTTTTGGTTTTTTTTTTTTTTTTTTTTTTTGGAAACGTGTTCTATTTTTTCATTATTACCAGAAACAACCCTGAAACTTTCAAATTTTATAGAAACAGCCTTGAAACATTTCGAGACGTCGAAACCAGTGTGGGTATAAGTTTACGTGCATTGTAGTTTTTATTTGATTTTTCATTTTTCTATTAGTTTTGTCACTTTTTATTTAATATTATCCACCATTTTCAGCCGACCACCAAACACAGCTTCTGTTCCTGCCTCAACTAGAGAGAGGTGGGTGTAATGAGGAATTTCAATCTTAGAATATGCTCTTTTGTTTTGTTCAATTATTGGGCAGTTATAACCAACCATAAGTTTATGTTTTACTTCTCAAATAAAAATTAAGGTTTAAGAAATATTATTGTAATCATATACTAATAAATAATAATTATTGGGGTCAACCCCTAACTATTGATGAGTCAAAGTAAATGGAAGGCCATGCCCTTGAGAGAGAGACATATAATCAACCACACGTATATATGAGTATGACAATGTCTGAAATTTTGAATTTGGAAAAATATATCTTAATACTCAAAACTTGAACCCCATACGAGAGCTATTCTTAAGATGTCAAGTCACTTCCTCGTCCATTAACAAGGCGAGTCTGATCTTAGATACTCGGACATAGCATCGTATAGTTGAGAAAGGCTGCTCTTAGTTGAGCTAGTTTCCCACAAGCTAAGCAAGGAGAGCAGCAATCGTCTTCATGCCATCTTCATTCAGTTGAATGCCGTCTTCTGCATAGGATAGGATTACTACTAAGATAAGAGCGCATTCTTCCTTCAAAGAGAGCTCTCTTTTGTGCTGGAGAATAGATGGCGTCAAACGGTGCTAACATTCCTCTTCCATTGCACAACCCTTGGGCTTCCTCAATTGAGTATCCCATTACTAGCATCATTCGAAGAGCTTTCGCATCGTATACCTTAAGCTTAACTATGAGTAAAGCTCCTTTGTGTCAGCTAACTTCCCATCTCCTT